AGCTTTTTTTGAAACTAGCTTTCCAACTGCAAGCTACTCCAAATTTACAGTAGTTGAATTACAGTCTAGCTACGGGTACTGGAAAGTAGTTAGGAATACAAGCTGCTGACAAACTTTTCTTTTTTCATTTTTTTTATTTTATTTTTTACAGTTAGAGCTATATTTATCAGGTGCAAAAACAAGGATCTCAAATAGGATGACATTTACATTTAAACACATTTACAAAAACACTCAAACAAGTCAATATTTCACCGCAAGACAATGTAAAATGTATATAAATTATATTTTAATGAATTTATGCATTCTTATAATTTAATATGCGTGTACATAATGTCTATTTATTTATTTATCTGGTGCATTAAACAAGGATCTCAAATAGATCAAATTTCCAGTCAGCTAGAGTCAAAAACAAATGACTAAGGCAAATATTTAATATACTGCACTGATTTACATTAATAAAAATAAAAAAAATTCAGAAAACAGCTCAGCCAGTGTCATGTGTCATTAGTAGCGTCGTTACGATTAGTTAGTTACTCCCCAACACTGATCTCTTCCCCTCATGTGTCCACTTTGGTCACATGACTGATGTTTCAGTGGTTTTATCTGTCACAAAATGGGTGATGTGATTTGTGTAATATGCACAAATTCTCATCGCAGCTCTTTGATGACGCATTACTGAATCATTTTCCCTTGTTATTAGTGAACTCAATGATAGAGTACCACGCTTGACCTTCACGTCTCATCTGTTTCTCTCCACAGAAAAACTGATAGTGTGCATCACCCGCCGTGAGTTTCCTCCTCCTGCCTACTGTCCCTGCTGAGCCTCTGATCTCATCACTTACGGGACCATTGCCACTAATTGCAAAGACCCTTCTGTAGTTTTCAACATTCTCTAGTTGTCACTCCTACTCTTATTGAGATCAATGTGATTGAGAACAGCCACTACTTAAAATGGACACTACACAATGAATTCCTCTCTTGATTTTGGTCCATACCACTTTTTTTTTTCTTTTTTTTTTGTCAAATAATGGAAACACTAGGGACTAAAATGTCTATTTAGTCACATGCCCAGCTTATCAAGCTTTATAAACCATTTCTTTTTTTATTGCTTATGCATCTATTGGAACACTAGTATAGTATGGCAATGGTATTTTGATTCTTTTGCTTCATCCTGCTTTTGTGGTTCACATTGATAAAAAGGTAATGCCAAATTGCATCAGTCATATGTGGCCTGCAGAAAATAATGTATATAGAATATCTCTAACTTGTACGTCTCGACGCATCGTGACGGACATGAGGCTTCTTTTTTTTTGGTCATTGTTTTTTAAAAGCACTAGATGACCACCAGTTCCCTTTAAGTTATCCATCTGTGGTTTTGTGGATGGTCTCATTGAGAGTTCAGTCTCTAGGAAGAGGTTGTTGTGAAAGCGTTGAAGCATTACAAAAGAGGCAGAGGGAGATTTATTTTTTATTTTTTTAAACCAGTAGCATTCAAGAACGATCTCTAGTGGTAGATGAGGACAGTTGTGCTCTCTGGGACTCCTTGCATTGTGACAAATTTGCAAAGCGTTCAAGAGCTGTTTTGGGATTTATTTTTCCCCCGCTTTGGTTTGGTCTTTGAAATTGTCACAGACAACAGTTAGTTTCTGTGTGGAAACTAAAGAGTTCCTCCCCCTTAGTTTTTTAATAAACACAATTAAAAAGCAACAGAAGAACTCTCGGAGACAAATTGTAGTCTTGGTCTTAGATTGGTGCTCCCACTTTTCAATATTGTTGTGAATCGGCCCTGCTGGTGGACCCAGTTTGTGGTTTTTCACTTTTTTTTGTCTGAATATAAATGAATGTGTAAATATGACTGCATCTCACAAATCCACTCTGCATACTTGGAGTGCCTCGCTTGCTCATTGCGTCGTGTGAGTGTGTTTGTGATAAGCGGTGAACAGGGACGTTCGGCCACCCGTCTGCCTCTTGGTTTCAGTGCCTGTCTGTGTAGAGAGGAAACGAGTGTACATTTGAGGATGTATATCCATTGTTTTTTTCTCTCTCTCTGCAATCCATAAATACAGTGCTTGTTTCTTAGACTGCATATTCAAATGCTCAGTAAGTCTGTTGTAGATATTTACTGAATATAAACTGAATAGCACTAGGGGTCATTGGAATTTTTTTTTTTTTTTTAGAATTAATTTTTTTCCCCAATGCCTTTTTAATCTCCTGTTTGCCAATTGTAATACAATTTTTCAAGACACTACAGTCAGTAAAGGAAAGGTTGGAGTCCGAAGACCAGAAGTCTGAGTCCTGATAGAGAGGAGGCTGTTCACAAGAATGAGGAATTAATCGATTGTTCAGTGTTGAGGGAGGCAGATAAATGAGCTTTTTAATCACAAAAATTGCATCTCTTTCAGGCAGGATTTAGCAAGAGCTCAGATTTTGATTCTAGCTTGATGAGAAAATAAGAAAATAAAAGCACATTTAACTATATATACCAGAGAATATTTGTTAATTTTAATTATTTTTTTTCCTCCTTTGGTTTTTGTCCTGTTGCTCTTTTCTTTTCTGTGTTTTATGATTGGGGCTGATTTTGTTTTTCTGGGGTGTTGTGGGTGAATGCATATGCAATCATTTTTATTTTTTAAATAAATGCATTTACAGTTTATATCTTTTAATTAAAGACGAAAGGAAAAAAATCTTTGTGTCATGTTCTGTCAGTTAACATGCCATTTCTCTGCAACACTAACATGTGGATCTTGATTCATAATTCCTATATTTCAACACTTTACCTTTGGTCTTAAACATTGCACCTTTCTTTCGTGGATTGAACATGTAACTTAGCAATACTGTTTTTTTTTTTTTTAAATAAAAGAATGATTTTTTTTCAAGGTTCTGACAGTGAATTTTTGTGTGATTCACAGAGCATTTTTGTACTTTAACACATTTAATACATAATACATTCATTTAAAATTCTTCACTTGAGAATGTAATGTATGAGATCAATTTGATAAGTCCATTTTAGCACATTATAGAGCTGCTGCTTACTGGGAAATATGGTTGAGACATATGATATTATGGAATTGATTCAATGTGTGTATATATATATATATATATAATTATGCCACGCTCTAAAATATTAAATGGGTAAGTAAAAAATAATAATAATAATAATAAATTATATATATATATATATATAAGTATTTTTTTTTTTTTTTTTTTTACTTAACCATTTAATATTTTAGAGCTTGGCATAACTAGAAATATATATGCATACATATATACATACATGCATGCATGCATACATAATAACATTATAAGTGCCCATGGAGTTTTAATATTTTAATTTGTGACTCCAAATTAGGCTATACCTCAAATATCCAGGTTTTCCAAGACGGTGGGAAGGACCTTTTTTCTCTCAAAGATATACAGGTTTTGAGAAGATTAACTAAAAATAGGACATATGTTAGTTTTTAGTTGATAAGCTTATTGCTTGTTTTGTCTTATTAAAAATCGTTTTAAGTAACCTTGAGGCCCCTAGTGGCCTCACTGGCTCCCTGGTTAAGCTGCAGTCCGTAACTTTTTTTTGTATTCAAAATGAGCAAGTACCTGAGTCACTACAGTACACGTACACCTATAAGTGTTTATATTCGGACTATTTTAGATCGTTCGGGTCGTACCGCTGCGGAGTAGCCCAGTACCTGCGTGACTTGTCATAGATATAAACGGAGAGAAGTTGCTCCGGCTACAATGTTCTTCCGCAACAAGACTGCAGCTTTAAGAGCCGCTGAACTAAAGCGCCAAAATAATTTTTACAGTGTAAATATTACACTTTCTCAAGAGGTTCCCTGCATAATTTACATTATGTGCCTACATTTACCGGCACTGTTTTTATTCTTCCCGTGCCTCAAATGAATTTTCAAAACAAATGTAATAAAATAACAATTATTGTGTTGTCAAATTGTATGCAACAGTTTCTGCACAGGATATAATAATGGGCTAAGTTGTTAAAATGTCCCCCTCAAGGCAGTCAGTTCCATTCAAAGATACATTCATATATTTCATATATACTTTAATTTATATAATTTCCCTCAGCACTCGGTAGTAATCTCACTTAGCCTAACATGTTTTCACACAAAAATGAAACAACAATGCGCCTTGCTAACACGGCAGTTTACCGTGAGATTTTTCAAATCCTGGTAAACAAATAATGGTTTTAATTATGATTGAAATATTAAACCGTAATACAAATAGTAGAGGATTGTATAGTAGTTTTTCGCCAGACCGGAATACCATTTCACACTTGTAAGTAACCCTCAAAGAGTGAGCTTGGTGACCCCTCTTTAGCGAGCCCTAGTGGGGTTGGGATGCACTGCAGTGGCACACAAAAAACATCAGCGAGTCACACACCAATGAGAGAACAGAGGCGGAAGAATTATTATGAATGTGTAAACTTCTATACACAGTTAAGTAGTGAATGATTCAACAATAAAATCGCAGTGAATGACTCAACATACTCGTTTAAGATGATCTCACATGGCGCTGGCATAACGATGTACGTTAAGTTCGCAATTCAGTGAGTGGATCTTTTTGGTGAATCGATTCAAAATATTCGAATCACTGAGATCAAAATCTCTCATCTCTGAAGCCACTGATTAGAGGCTAGAGCGAGAGTCGGATGACATGAGATTGTTATGCAGCGGCTCACGTGTCCTACATATCACCTGTGTTTGCGTATGTAAAATTATTTGTTGATTTTGGATTATAATATCGGTATTAGCAAGTATTGGTGAACCACGTGCACTTAGCGCATGAAAACGCGGCGGAAATACTAGCGATATCAGGATTAGTTGACATTTTGTGACCTTCGAGATTATGGCTGAACTGATACATGTATTTGCAATTTAATACAATGTTTTGAATTTAGTATAAAATTGCCCGATCAGTCCTCTAACTTTCAAATACATATTTGAACTTTTCTATGTGTATAGGCCTATCAAAGCAATGTAAAAGCCTCTACTTGTCCAAATGTTGGTTATTTTAGTCTACAGCTGTTGGATCTGAATTGATAACACGAAGTAAGTAAATGTATATCTCGCTAAATTGAAGAAAGTGGAATTTTTCTGGATCACAAACAGCCTTAGCTTTTGTTTTGAAGTTTCTAAATGTATTTTAGACTGAAGTTGATGCCAGCATGTGGAAGTATCAGCATCCTGACTTTGCATTATTCCTACTTGGTGAACTTCAGAAGCAGCAGCAGGGAAGCATCTTCTGTGACACTCTTCTACAGACAGAGGGTAAGAGCAGAGATCACAAACACTGGGTCTGTGTCACTGGAAAAAGCTGTCAACTTTATTACTTGCATTGTAAACAAATCATATGAAGACCTGATGCCATGATTTCCACAGTCAGTAGTTGTTGACAGAGACCATAGAAATTAATGTCTACCGTTATAAATTAATCCTACGTGTCGTAAAATGTTTTTGACTTACACTCATTCTCTTTTACACTAAAGCAGTTTAATCAGCACATCACTGACTTTGATTCAAATGCAACAATAATAATATTAGCTCCAATAATATTTAACTGATTTTTTTTTTTTTTTTTGGCAGTTGATTTGCTTGCTGGGCCATTTTTTTTTTGTAATCTTCAAATTTTCAAATTTAAGATGTTATTTTTAGTTATAGACTTCTGTTATATTGTGGTCATTGAAAAATAATTTGTACTAAGCTTTTAGATTTATAAATTTAGCAGACTTTAAGATGAATCGCTTGTTGTATTCCTCAATGAGGCAATGAATTCGAGAAGCGCTGGTACAAGCTAACAAATTGTGAGATGAATCTGTCAAGATTTTTTTCAGCAGGATGCAGTTAAGGGCTCACTGAAGAGATGATTTTTCAGCTGGTTCTTTGAAAATTTTCAGGGATTCAGCTGTCCGGATAGGATTGGGAAGATTATTCCACAAGCAAAGAACAGTGGAACGAAAACAATGCTTTTTCTATTATCTAAAAATACTTTTCAATTCTTCAGGTGTCTGTGTTCCTGCTCACAGCTGTGTGTTAGCTGCTCTAAGCCCCATCTTCTCAAGAATCCTTTCCACTTCATCTGCTCCACATGCGGGGCAGAACAGGCTTCTGAGCCTTGAGGCTGTAGGATCTCATGCCTTACTGAAGCTAGTTGGGTTTCTGTACTCAGGGGAAATGGAGATCGAGAGTCGGAGCGAACATGAGGAAGTAATGGCTGCTGCCCACAGACTTGGACTTAGAAACCTTTTTTCAAAAAAGAGAGTGTGGGTAGACAGAGGAGTTGTGGATGTTGGGAGTTGTTGGAAAGAGACTGGTGTACGGACAGAAGACAGCGTGAAGAGCCAGGAAAGTGAAACCGTGTCTGAACCTTTGAAGATACAGAGCAGTACTGCTTCAGTGACTTCAGTGCAACCTTGTGGCTTGTTGGAGCCTGATTTGCCACCATCATCGTTTTTGGAAGAAGTTAGTCCAACTAGAGGTTTAAATTTGATCAGTAATGCCACTGTTCCTTCCCTCGCTGACATGACAGAAGCATCGATAGCAGACCATCATAAAACAAAGGCTAAGAAAAGGTGGAAAATGGCAAAGAGAGAAAGCCAATTAAAAAAATTAACTCGTCAACAAAACCCGATAAAGCTTCTTAATGTTGAAGGGACCAAATCAAACCAAATTGGAGTGGTGGAAAAAAGTAGGAATGTTTCAGGCAAAGACTTCCAAAAGCTTTTAGAGGCAGATAATGGACAAAAAAACACTACTACTGAACAGAAAGAGGCCAAACTGGACCAGCTTAAAGTAAAGATAAAACTGAGCAGAAGGAGTGGAGCTTGCTGGGAAAGTAACCTCCTCGTTTCCGTCCAGGGTGAGAGTGAGAAGATGCCAGAAGAAGCAAAAGAGTGTGGACCACGAACTCAGGTAAGGATTTATATTCAAAATCTGTGTGCTATATTTGTTGCCACACACACACACACACACGCGCGCAATTGTTAAAACAGTTGTGGAGAAACCAGGATAAAAAAAATTCTGAATTCTTTGATAAATAGAAAGTAAAAAAAAAAAACAGCATTTGAAATATAAATCTTAACTCTCACTTTTGATCAATTTAAATTCATCCTTGCTGAAAATAAAATATCAATTTCATCATACAAACTATATACTGTATATATTTTTTAAATAAAGTTGATCAAAAGTGACAGTAAGGACTCTTACATTACTATTCACCACTAAAATACAATTTCCACAAAAATATCAAGCACCACACCTGTTTTCAGTATTGATTATAATAAAAAGAAATGTTCATTAAGCACCAAATCTGCATATTAGAATGATTTCTAAAGGATCACGTTACACTTAAGATTGGAGTAATAATGCTGAAAATTCAGGGATAAATTACATATTTAAATATATTAAAATAGACAACAATATGTCACAATATTACAGTTTTTACTCTTATTTTTGCTAAGTAAAAATGCAGCCTTGGTGAGCCTAACTATGCTTTATTTGTTTGTTATGTTATATATTACAGTATATGTATACAATTATAGAGACCCACTTTTCTACAGCAAAATTTACTTTCATAATCTTATTTTTACTTTATATCTGACTAAAGAGCTGCCCATCTAGTGTGATTCCTGGTCAAAGTCTTGGAACTCTCACCACACAGACGGACCTGCCTATTTCACCCTCTAATTCCTCCACGCATGCCTCTTCAGATAAATGTCTTCGTACTCCACATGACATTTCTGTCTCTTCCCCTTTGGATATACCAACATTATCTTCCAGCCCTCCCCAAGCAGACGAATCGGATGAACATATTGCAATGCTCTTGGAGGATATGTTCATGATGGGTTTAAACATCCTTCCGTTGGTGCCATTAGACAGAAATCTGAATGAGCAAGATCAGCCAGGTCCTCTTCAGGAACAAAAAGATGGGCAAAAGGTCGCTGAGGCCTCTACTCAAGGTGCTTGTCTTTTGGTGCAAAGTTGTGAGCCAGAGATGAGGGAATCTGATGTTAGCAACAAGACAGCAACACCAGTTGGTTCTTCAGGACAAAGAGATGAAGGTAAAGCCTTTGGCTCATGTTATTTTAGACTACGCATGTGTGCATGCATGCATTATTTTGTGTGTTTTCGTTTACTTATTGTTTACAATTTTTTATTAACTCTTTTTTGTTTACTAATTGTTTTTTTCAGACCACTCAGGCTTTCACAATCAGTCAAAATCCAATACAGTCGTACGCCTGACCCAGTCACCTAAACAGGACCACTTGAACCAAGTTCAGAATCTGGCAACTGCATCAAGAAACTCTCCCCCATCACTTATAGAAGGCTTGAGTTTAATCCCAAAAGCCACAGCTGTCCCAAACTCTGTTGCAACTGGTGAAATGCCTAGCCTTGTTATGACCGGCATACCTGATGATAGGCCAGATTTCAAACTACTACAATGCCTTTCCCCCCTTGAATCAGAAAAAGGAGACAGTGATGTTCCATCAAAACAAGAACCATCAAAACCATCACACATGCAAGACTCTGAAACACAAAACTTTCCCTTGTGGCTTTCTGAATCACCACTGATTTTGGACTTCCCTCTAAGCTCAATGATTGATATTTCCTGCCCACGTCCGCAGCATGACCTCAACGCCTGCCAAAATCGATCATGCCCTGACCTTGCAGAATGTCAGGAATTAAAGACTTCCCTTTCACATAATAATGTAATCAGTGGGAGTAGCTCAAACTTCATTCAGCCTGGTGTGAGCGATGCTAGTGAGCGTCCTAAACAGAGAAAGACGAGAAAACGGAGGATTGCAACTCGAAAGTCAAAAGTGAAAGGGGACACGGAGTGCCAAAACCTAGAAAACGGGGATCAGGTTCAACCGAGGATATCCAAATGTGATGAGCCCCACTCCGGAGACATTAAGCCATCAAATTCTGACACATATGGAATCAGTACCCGAATGACCAGTGCAAGCACAAGAGTAGCTGCGGCTATGAAGAGAAGACGAGAAATTACTTCACCTCTCAGTAAGAAAATGCCTCTGTTAGACGCCGCCAGTAAACAACATCTCACTGGTGTTGTAAAACGTGGTCGTGGCAGACCACCTAAATCCAAAACAACTCCTGTAGCTCACTTGTGTAACAACGCAAAGAAAATGCCCACTTCAGGCCAAGATGATTGTGAAGTGGAAAAAACTAAGACAGACAATAAGATTGAACAGGGGAGTAAGCAAGAACCAAATACACAGCAGGAGAAAGACTCAACAGAAATGGAAGAAGCAGATGTTAACTGCAATTCTGCACAGGCAACGCCGAATTCTCACTTTAAATATGCTGGCCAGGCGAAGGGACCAAGTATCCTTGATCAAATTTTCCACCAGGCTCTTTCAAGTGTTGCAAGTCCCGCATGTAATAGCTCTCTGAATTTTGATCAGCAGCTAACATCAAGCCTGCGAGACTCGTCTTTTAGCCTTCAAAAATTCCAAGGAGGGAAAAGTGATAACGTTAATAGTAAATTAGTGATGAATAGCAGTGAACAGATCAAAAAGGGCATTTGTGGGGAGAAAAAAGCAGAGATGTCTATCCTGATAAACGAAAAGAAAGACGTGGAGGTATCTGACAATCATGCAAGGTCACCGTTGTCATGTGGAGACATGCCAGATAATGTGAAATATTCAGGTAAAGACGGAGATATTTCCATGGAGGAGAACTCAAGTAGAACAGCCACTGTTTTACAGAATAGTGATTTCCAAAATGAGATGGGAAAAGACATTCAGGACCATACAACTGGGATTTCTGTCCTGTTAACATCTGAGGAGGAAATAATGAAGGACGCCATGTCACCTGATGGGGATATTGATGATGCTGATCATGATTGTTCACCCACAAAGACGGACTGTGTTGTTACTACCAATGAACTGACAGTGATGGAGGGAATAGAAATGAATTTCTGTTTGAATCCTGATATTACACAAGCAGAACATGTCAAAAATGGCTTGGAAACTACAGTTTCTAATGAGTGTTCATTTGAGATGACATCAGATAGTGAAAAGAAAGTTCAGGCAGCACATGGTGTTGACCAAGAGGATTTAGGTTGGAACAAAGACGATCAGATGAAAGACGATCAGATGATAGAAGAAACGGGAGAAGAATCTGAAGTTCTGAGAGTACATACATTTGCAAAGGAATACGAGGGACGTTGGGAAACCACCAATTGGTCGGATGATGATTATATTGATGTGGAGGGGGTCCAACACAGTGCTGAGATGTTCGATGGACAAACCCTTTTGGAGGAAGAGGAATTGAGTCAAGGACACATCGCAAGTGCTAAGACTGCAGATGATCCTTCAAAAGGAGGTAAAATTGCGAAATTTACATTGTTAATAATAATCAATATTCCTGATCCTGCTGTTTTGTCCTCATAGATTTTCCTCAAGAAATAAGCACAGATGCTCCTTCTGTCCAAACTGAAGGTTCAAACGTTCACAGCCCCGATGTGTGCAATGAAGATGTCTCAATGGAGCTGTCCGTTGGGGGCGATTCCGAATCAAAAGATGACTGCCACTTAGATGAAGAAGATATTGAAGTAGATGTTCTAGGGGAGTCTGTTGAAGAGTTTCCATTAGGGCTTTTGGCAGCTGGACAGGTTGTCACTCTGCCTATTGAGGGTCTTCTGGACCAAGAGGACGAGTTGGATACCACTGAAGAAGAGGAGGTAGATGTCACTGGAGAAGAGACAGAATGAAATGTTATGTTTATGTTAAGCATACATCTTTCACATTTTGAAGTCAATAGCAGATGTTTGAAAGTTCTCAAAACCTAAAGTTTAACACATCCAATGGTGAGAAATCTCTTTTTTGTCAGTTTGATGTTACTAAAGTGAATTGGCACCTTAATTTATTTTTGACTGTCTCATACATGTATAAAGTTACATATAAAATTATGTAAATTAAAATAAATGTCTATATTATATAAGTTCATATCACACTTTTTGATGTGTGCTTAATTTTTGTATATGTATAATTATACAAATACATTATACATATTTGGTATAATTATTTTGGTCTGACTTTATTTGTGTTACTTATCCTCTGTTGTTATCTGACATTTTTGAGAAGAAATAAGAAAGCGTAAAGTATAACACAGAATAAAATATAACAATATATATTTCTCAAGGTAAAGGAACCTCAAAATATCAGGTAATTTGAAAAATTGTGATAGTAAATATATATATATATATATATATATATATATATATATATATATATATATATATATATATATATATATATATATATATATATATATATATATATTAGTTGTGCTGCTGCTTAGCTATAAAACATTTTATCAGTTAGAAATTGTTTATTGTGAGTGTGATTTCTATAAAATTATGTTTTAATATCTGTGTAATCAGAACTGGAAGTCATAGGAATTGGTGAAAAGATGCGAGAGCTCTTGGTAATAGCTTTACTTTTTACCAATTCCTATGACTTCCAGTTGTAGCAAGTACAATTATAAAATACAGTTAAAATAAAGCAATACAAACAATGTAGCATTTTTCATTACACAAAAATACTTGAAGCAGAGCATAAATTCATTTACAACCGCAATGAAGGAGCAACGAAGCAAATGTAGCAGTGGTTTGAATGGAAAACTTTATTGTCAGCGGAAGTGCCAATTACAACGCTGGATGGAAAGGATCCACGTGGGTACTTCCTCCGGTCCGGTCAAGCAGACACACACTGAAGGTTAAGCAAGCTGTCTGGGCTCTTTGTTGAACGGGACCCACGCGCTGTCCGGTGGGTTTTGAGCGAGGGTGAACCGAAAGGTTATTTGCCGAGATGGACCCCATGAAAGCGCAGCAGCTCGCCGCGGAGCTGGAGGTCGAAATGATGGCTGACATGTATAACCGGTATGAAGATCTGATGGTTTGAATGTGTAACGGCATGCTTTCTGTCAGATTACTGACGTTTTCGATATCTGACAGCAGGAAAAAATATAGACTTGTATAGTAGATTACGTAACTATTGAATAGCATTTTGTAGATGTTGTAGTAGTACAATTAGCCTAATGGCTATATGGCATGATGCTATACGTTTTATTTCATTATTAGATTTTATTTAGACAGGCCTTAAGAACGCATACTTGAATCGTTTAAAGCATGATCAAACTTCATACTTGATGATTTGATAACCCATAATGTAACCTGTAGCAGTGTTATTCACTAACGTTACGCCTGCCTGTAACGTTACTACCGTCGTCAGAGTTCTTGTCGTTTTTGCAGTCACAGTTTTACATTCAGGTATTAAGCAAGTTCACAGTCTTCCTAAGTTTTTCTTAATGTTTGCATAATTTGTCATATATAAGTAAAGTTACAATACCAGCAGTATGTACTTTAAGTTCACATACAATTGACAAATAATTCTATTTACCCTAGTATGCGTATAACGTTACAACTCGAATGATCTTTTCTGGCCGCAGTTAGAGATCAATATATTTTAGCATTTAGATCAATAATGCATTGCATTTATTCCTGTTATGTACTGTATGTATTTAGTAGGACTGCAACTAAACGGTTATTTTGATAATTGTTTATTCTGTCAATCTATAAGTAGATATGTCGCGACGGGTTGGACTCCTTTACGGCATTACCACCAGCAAATGTGTAGTACTATTTAATAATAGGCCTTGTGTAATATTAAGTGACATTGTATATTGTTTAAAGAAAATAAACAAAACCGTATTTATGTTTTCTTTCTTTTGCTTTCAGGTTTTACCAATTATAATAAGACTTAAATTACCATGACTTAAACCACTATGATGCTGACTGACATATTAATGAAAAAGAGAAAAATGTAATTAAAAATATTGCATTATATTGTAGTTTAATGAAAAAATTACGTGTTCTCTCTATGGCTTCCAGGTGTCAACAAAGGGATTAGACTTTAATTGTAATGATTTATGTCTACAGTGTATGTCTAATAATAATGCTTTTTAATGAATGAAGGTAAACAAAATATAAAGATTTTAATAAATGAATGGCTTCCAGATTTCAAACAAATGTAGAATCAATGTGTTTTTTTGAAGAGAAAAACATAAACAAACATCTTCCATTTTCAGTTTCCATTAAACAGTCAGACTCCTACGGAGGCACTAAAGGGACATGGTGATGGGGAAAAAATATTTTTGAATGCGTTTGCGTTCTCTCACGAAGTTTGGCGTTCCTCAAGAAACTTTGCATTCATTTGCAAAGAACTCTGCACTGTTTATTGTGGGAAACTGTCTTCCCATCAACATGTCCCTTTGGGGTTGCCGTAGCCCTCATGTGACCTACAACAAAAACAAACAAATATACATGCAATAAGGGATGCAATTGTTAGAAACTACTTTCGACTGGTTCGTCTAATGTAGTAAATATACAGTGGATAATCCAGATTTTCAAAGGTATCCCAATCTTACTAAAAAAGTTTTAAATAACACAAACGATTTTATCCAGCTCAAAACCAGGATTGGATTTTGTGATCTAATCCAATTTCAAAAACAAAAATTCTTCTTTTGAGCAACCCATTTTCAAGATTTGACCAATCCAATCAGCTAACTTTTGAACAACTGGTCCATGGTTTGTCATCTCATCTCTCCTGTCTTTTTTACTCATGCAGAATGACCAGTGCGTGTCACAAGAAGTGTGTTCCGCCTCATTACAAGGAAGCAGAACTTTCAAAGGGGGAAGCTGTGTGTCTGGACCGCTGTGTTGCCAAGTACTTGGACTTGCATGAGAGACTTGGCCGTAAACTCACTGAGCTTTCCGTTCAGGATGAAGAGGTGATGAGGAAGGCCGCTGCGGGCACTGGATAAGACCCGACATGGACTCCAAGGGTGGGGCTGAAGGCCTTGGATGGGGTTTGTGGGCACTTTGGACATCCATTACGGGGAAATCAGGCAGCGTGGACATAAATATAAATATTATAACATGAACAATATTGAGACAAATATTGATTCAATGTTAGATATGCAAAAAGATTCAGACTTTTGGAAGGAGGTGGGATACAGCTTGCCCCAGGAGTTGTTAGTTTGTTAGCATGAACATTATTAAGATCACAGGAATAAAACCTTGTGTGGTTGGGGAGATTTTTTTGAGTGTGGTGAAATTGTGTCCTTGTGAAATCGTAGGTGACTTTTTTTTTATGTTGACACGTCATTGTAATTTCTTACATTCTCTGAGTCATTTTACAAAATGTACCTTTATTGCATAACAAAATTAAAAAGTTTACCAATCTGTTTAGCTTCTGACGCTTTATTTATTTAAAATTAGCAAGATAGATTTTGCGGATGAGTTTGGAGAACACCTGACCATCAGAGACCATTCCTCCATACAGAATCTCTCCAGATCCTGCAGATTCCCAGATCCATGTTGGCGCTTCTTCTTCAGTTCAGCCCACTCATTTTCTATAGGGTTCAGGTCAGGGACTGGGACCGCCATTGCAGATGCTTGATTTTGTGCTTGTGACCCATTTTTGTTTTGATTTTGATGTTTGTTTTTGGATCACTGTCCTGTTGGAAGATCCAAACATGGACTGTTATAAGATTTATAGCACAGGCTGTCAGGTTTTGATTTTTTATCTGTTGGTATTTGATCGAAGCCATGATGCCATGTATCTGAACAAGATGTCCAGGACCTCTAGCAGAAAATTAGGCCCACAGCATTAAAGATACAGCAGAGTATTTCATTTTACACATGGGTTACTTTTTTTATCCATGAGCACCAAACATCCATGTGCACCAAAGTGTTTGCTGCCAATATATATTATTGTGAAATATTATTACAATTTAAAAGAAGTGTTTTTTTAATATATTTTAAAATGTAATTTTATTCCTGTGATGCAAAGCTGAATTTTCAGCATCATTACTCCACTCTTTAGTGTCACATCCTCCAGAAATCATAATATGCGGATTTGCTGCTCAAGAAACATTTATTATTATCAATGTTGAAAACAAAAGATTATATTTCAAATACATTCTATTCTTTTGAACTTTTCTATTCATCAAAAACTGTTTTTGACATTGATAGCAATAATAATGTTTCTTGAGCAGGAAATCAGCCTATTAGGATGATTTCTGAAGGATCATGTGACTCTGAAGACTGGAGTAATGATGCTGAAAATACAGCTTTTCCATCACAGGAAGACATTTAAAAATATATTGGAAGTGTGTGTATACTAAATATATATATATATATATATATATATACACTCACCGGCCACTTTATTAGGTACACCTGTCCAACTGCTCGTTAACACTTAATTTCTAAGCAGCCAATCACATGGCGGCAACTCAGTGCATTTAGGCATGTAGACATGGTCAAGACAATCTCCTGCAGTTCAAACCGAGCATCAGTATGGGGAAGAAAGGTGATTTGAGTGACTTTGAACGTGGCATGATTGTTGGTGCCAGAAGGGCTGGTCTGAGTATTTCAGAAACTGCTAATCTACTGGGATTTTCACGCACAACCATCTCTAGGGTTTACAGAGAATGGTCCGAAAAAGAAAAAACATCCAGTGAGCGGCAGTTCTGTGGGCGGAAATGCCTTGTTGATGCCAGAGGTCAGAGGAGAATGGCCAGACTGGTTCGAGCTGATAGAAGGGCAACAGTGACTGAAATAACCACTCGTTACAACCGAGGTATGCAGCAAAGCATTTGTGAAGCCACAACACGCACAACCTTGAGGCGGATGGGCTACAACAGCAGAAGACTCCACCGGGTACCACTCATCTCCACTACAAATAGGAAAAAGAGGCTACAATTTGCAAGAGCTCACCAAAATTTAACAGTTGAAGACTGGAAAAATGTTGCCTGGTCTGATGAGTCTCGATTTCTGTTGAGACATTCAGATGTTAGAGTCAGAATTTGGCGTAAACAGAATGAGAACATGGAACCATCATGCCTTGTTACCACTGTGCAGGCTGGTGGTGGTGGTGTAATGGTGTGGGGGATGTTTTCCTGGCACACTTTAGGCCCCTTAGTGCCAATTGGGCATCGTTTAAATGCCACGGCCTACCTGAGCATTGTTTCTGACCATGTCCATCCCTTTATGGCCACCATGTACCCATCCTCTGATGGCTACTTCCACCATGTCACAAAGCTCTAATCATTTCAAATTGGTTTCTTGAACATGACAATGAGTTCACTGTACTAAAATGGCCTCCACAGTCACCAGATCTCAACCCAATAGAGCATCTTTGGGATGTGGTGGAACGGGAGATTCGCATCATGGATGTGCAGCCGACAAATCTGCGGCAACTGTGTGATGCCATCATGTCAATATGGAACAAACTCCCTGAGGAATGCTTCCAGCACCTTGTTGAATCTATGCCACGAAGAATTGAGGCAGTTCTGAAGGCAAAAGGGGGTCCAACCCGTTACTAGCATGGGGTACCTAATAAAGTGGCCGGTGAGTGTATATATATATATATATATATGTGTATGTGTGTGTGTGTGTGTGTATTTAATTGGGTCAGGGTTGTTACCCGATGGATGAGATTGTAGGTTTAAAGAGGATTAATTTAGAGGAACTGCTGGACTGTCAGTATGCTAAAAAGTATTTTTGTGGAGATGTCACTGAATTCATCTTCTTTCACTATAGTCTAACAAATCTTCAGTATTCAATGGGACATTTCCTGTTCATTTTTGGAGCTTGGCAGACATGGGCTGCATCCGAAATCACATACTTCCACAGTCTGAACTGTCACCATAGCAAATTTCTCTCTAACTCAATCCCTATAGCACCACACACTGTCCAATGTTTCACTCATGTGTGTGCCAATAACTGAACCATAAGGGCTAGAAACAACAACAAAAAAATTTCTCTGATTCCTGATTGCACCATATGACGTCATTTTCCGTCATGAAAATGTGTCCGCCATTTTGAATTCTCCGAAAAAAAAACCTACTTTTTCCAACTCTTCCTAGGCCTTTGCTCCGATTTTCACGAAAATTTAACCAGATCATCTTCAGACAATGCTGGCAAAAACTTATTAAAATCTTTTTGATAAACCCAACCGTTATCGAATAACACGCAAATGAAATTGACGTAGAGCACCTTAAATTGGACACAAGGCTATATCTTTGCAACGCTTCATCGTATTCAGACCAAACTTGGTACATGTCATCACAAGCTTGACTTGAGGCTGCGTTTTGGCGCAGCACCACCTACTAGTCCGGAGATACGAAAAACGGCTATTTTTGCTTATAACTACTGAACGGTTTGTCCAAAAATCATAAAAAAAATCAAAGTGGTCTCGTTAGATTCAGGGTGTCATGCCGAGTCGACTGATATCCAATTTTTCCATATCGACTATTTTAGGCGTCGGACATTTTTAATATTTTGTACCAAAATGCTGTATTTTATGAATGCATGAACATATCGTTACGAAAATCAGTATGGGTCATCAATCCCTGAAGAAGGACACAAAAAATAGTGGGATTGTGCCTCTTGTTGGCGCTATAATAGAACAAAACATGAAATTGCCATTGACTTCAATACAATATTGTGATATAAAATGCTATACTTTATGAACGCATTAGCGTATCATTACGAAACTCGGTATGGGTTATCGTTACCATGCCCTGAAAGTACTCAAAATGTTTCGGGGCATCGCCACCCTTTGGTCCAAAGTTATAATGAAATTTCCAAAAATGCTAATAAATTATTAATAAATTAGCCTATTGCACTGAAACTGGTCTTAATAGATCTCTTGGGTCACACCGAGAACATAGATACTAAGTTTGCCATATTTGGCCGAACTTCCTCTCCGCCATCTTGATTTTCATTCAATACCTACTTTTCATCAAAATCGAATCGTATCATCTCCTGACCGTGCCGATTAAAAGTTTTGGATTTCGTGTCGATAGACGAAACCGTTTTCATATACCGCAGCAGCAAAGTTGAGGCATGATGCCAAAATGACTATTCAGGCTTTATCTCTGGAATGCCTTGACATATTGGCACCAAACTTTGTATGTGTCATTGTCACCTCACTCTGACCACACCACATCAATTAACTGTGCCACCTATTCATACTTTGCACGTGACGTCACAAGTACTGGCTGGCGGGCAAGAACGTCGTTCTCCATCAACGAAACCCAGTAAACTAATCAAGGATCTTGTCAGGACGTCGCCAGTTTTACTATACAAAAGTTGGTGTTTTGAGATTTGTGATATCTATGGTTTTCAATGAGAACCAGAGATGACCCAACAGTAGAGCAAGATTATTTACGGAGGAATTATTACTGCTCGACTATCTTAAAAAACCTTGTCTGCTTTACACAATTTAGCTACCTTGGAGTTAATCCTATTTCTAGTCCATATATGCAGCTAGCTTGCTAACAGACTTGATAGCTACTAAAAGACCCATAAGACCTGGAACTACAGGACTCTACGTTGAAAATACCCGTTTGTTGCCCGCCAGGTATCCATGGTAGTCACGTGACTGCAAAGTATGAATTGGTAAAAAGTGACAAACCATTAAATCATATTATTAGTTTCTGTATATATGACCTTTTCACCCATTTTGCCTAAAATCATCTTAAAGGGTAACTAAACCCTAAAACAACTTTTTTTAGTTAATGATCTGTAAGACTTGGGCTTTATTAATGCTGTTCATTGATTCAAGTACATTTTTTGACATTTGGGTATAAAGTGTTTTAATTCTACGATATATGGTGTAAAAACATCTGAGTGCTGCCCTCCTCAGGTTGAACGGCGGCTACTGCAGTTGAATTTTCCTATTGGAAGTTGTGGTGCCCTGTGATGTAAGCAGGCACCAGCTAACTACGCCCTTGCCTACAGAGAGACCTGTCTCAGGTGCAACCCCCCAACCCCCTCCGCTCAAATATTGCCAGTAGGTGGAGTCAGGCTCTGACCAGGGGTTTAGTTACCCTTTAAAATGTATTTAATTGCTCATTGTTGCAGTTGGTCCGACACTCCCAGACATGTTGGCATGGTTTGTTGTCTTCTAAGCACTTGGCTCTGATAATAGCTGCTTGCAGCTATATTTCCTAATGAAGCAGTAAGGGTGTACTTAGTTTGTCACACATGGCTTCTCCATTTTGGTCCAGTTTTTGTTAAATAAATATCATGGTGTAATATGTCATGTGTTGTTGTTCATCTGAGGTTGTATTTACCTAATTTTAGGGCCCGCCAAAGACCAGATGATTTTTTATTATGTCCTGATATGTAAAACCATAGAATTCAAAAGGGTGTACTTTCTTTTTCACATGACTGTAGTAGGCAAAAAACGTGTTGAAAGAAGTATTTCCGAATTCACAGTACTCATAAAAGAGTCAAAACGTACCCATGCAGCTACTTCTGGCAAGATTGTTTTTTAAGTTATGGTTACTTCCAAGGGCACTTTTATCTCAAGCTTTCTCATTGTATATTAAAAATGAGACTGCATATGTAAATGAGTTTGGTATGTTGATAGAAATGTTAGTTTTTCCTCATTAATTTCCTTTCACAAACATTGTGCAAGAGAATACAAGCAGGCTGTCTTCCAAGTTGCTTGTGTAATACTGTGAGCATAGCCGACATATCGAAGCACTATCCCTTTAAGAAAATGGGGAACTAGGGAGAACACTTTCATTTCCTTCTCTGTTTTCTTAATAAAACCCGCACGCAACTGTTTCAAAGGGGGAAGTTTTATTAGAGGCTCGATATAAGTTTCTTAACGGTGAGTTTTAATCATTTAAAAGACTTTGCAGAGTTTGTCGTTGTAGCGAAGTTCATCGTTACCAGTTTGGTGAGTTATATTTGCTCTAAGTTAATGTTTGCTTCGACCTACGGCATCGGCAAGTTTCACTGCATAATAAAACATTACCTATAAAAGTTTTAAACTGTAGCGGTGTTGACATCGAATGAACTGGTTTTGTACACTTGTTTTATATTTTCCGACCCCAAACCTTGTTTTTTTTATTAACTCCAGTGATAAATGAATGCATTACTTTATTGAAATCGTCATTATCAGTGATCTACCTGTCCTGCATCTCTCTCTTGTGGTTGGAGAGCAGTGCGGCCGCCAGATGGCAGCAGTGATCACTGAAGATAACGTGTACAGCGAGGCTGAAGTCAACGACGCGCTCCCTGCTGGTGGAGATGATCACGTGCAGCTGCCCGGTCCTGAAGGAAACATACAGGGACAGGTATCTTGAGCTCTGTCAAAGACACGGCATGTAGCATGATATTTCTTCTGGTACTTTTACTGTAATGACGACAAGACGGCTTGAAACTTTTTATTAGCAGAATATAACCTAGTAATTTTAATGATTCTAGACGTTTCTAGAACTGTGTTCTTCAATTAAAGCAGTGGTTCTCAACTCCAGTCCTCGGGACCCACTGCTCTGTACATTTTGTATGTCTCTCTTATCTGACACAGTCAGTTCAGTTCATAGAGTCTATCCTAACGAGCTGAGGATCTGAATCAGGTGTGTTATACATACACAATATGCAGAGCAGTGGGTCCCAAGGACTGGAGTTGAGAACCACTGAATTAAAGCAACAGTTGTTTAGAGGGTAATAGAATATGAAATATGATGTTATTTTACACGCTGTACGGCTTTTAATTGAACTATTTTATTTTAATATCATTTTAAGTCTTCAGCCTCCTTGTTTTTTCTTTTCTTTAAATAGGAATCAAATACACTGATATGGACGTTTCTTCAACTAGGGCAGTGGTGGAAAGAGTACTAAAAAATGTAAAAGTATTGCTACTTAAGTAATAATTTACTTGAGTACAAGTAAAAGTACTGAAAAATAATATGACTGAAGTAAGAGTAAATAAGTTGTTTGATTAAAAACTACTCAAGTAACTACGTTACTTAAAGTACTTTAGTATTATTTTCTATTTTTAAACAAAATGGGGAGATGATAGCGATATATCTGTTTTATTCATATACTGGAAGCCCACTACTGATTCATACCTCACGCAGAAAGTCCACAAGTGAGATTCATAGAAGTATTAAACTTATGACGTTTCAGGAAATGCCTTACGTGGATATAATAACATGCAAATAGAGATGTTTTGACTGATGAAACATGAAGACAAACACATGATAGCGATAATATATCTGTGTTCATCAAGCTATCTCAGGTATTTTCATAAAAATGATGTATGTCTTTAAAGGGATAGTTCACCCAAAAAGAAAAATTAGCCCATGATTTACTCACCCTCAAGTCATCCTAAGTGTATATGACGTTCTTCTTTCAGACAAATACAATCAGAGTTATATTTAAAAATGTCCTGGCTCTTCCAAGCTTTATAATGGCAGTGAATGGCTGGAGAAAATTTGAAACCCCAAAAAAGTGCATCCATCCATGATAAAAGTGCTCCACTTTTACTCCAGGGGGTTAATAAAGGTCTTCTGAAGTGAAGCCATGCGTGTGTGTAAGGAAAATACCCATATTTAAAACGTTATAAACTAATCACTAGCTTCTGCCAGACGGCCGTACGCATCGATTTACGGTGGAAGACTAACCCCTGAACCGACGCACAACGTAATGACGTACGTGGAAGCTCAGAGGTAAGAGCAAAACAAAACCCTGGTCGCGAATTAGCAATTTTGAAGAGAAATGCCGGAGGATTTCTATATAATAGAAGAAGAGCTTCAGTTTGTTGCACAGCCCTATTTGTTTAAACCGTGGAAGGCGTCTAAGCTTACGAAACTCCTACATCATATGTCATACATGCGTCACAGGTTACTCTTGTAGCGCAAGTCAATTTGCGTATGCGTACGGTCGTCTGGCGGAAGTTATTTTAGATTATAAAGTTATAAATATGTGTATTTTTCTTACAAAAACCAATGGCTTCGCTTTCGAAGGCCTTTATTAACCCGCTGGAGCCGTGTGGGGTATTTTTTTATCATGAATGGATGCACTTTTTTGGGTTTTCAATTTTTTCCAGCCATTCACTGCCATTATAAAGCTTGGAAGAGCCAGGACATTTTTTTTTAAATATACCTCCGATTGTATTTGTCTGAAAGAAGAATGTCATATACACCATGACTTGAGGGTGAGTAAATCATGGGCTAATTTTCATTTTTGAACTTGTATGATAGAATTTAATAAAATAATATATTCTCACTCTGTGTTAAGAAGCAACATGAAACCACCGACGCAATTTCTAACACGACTGACATGTATTGTGATTTAAGAGCAAAACATGATATTCAATTAATAAATTGTAGTGTTTGACGGTATGCTAAGCAAACATACTAGCTTTCCCTGTTGTCAAGAGCAATTGTTTTATTACTAATTTTGAAAAGTTAGTCCAGGTAAGATAATTTGAATGTTTTCATTTGAATCATTTCATAATTGAAAGCAAAGAAGGTTAAGTGAGAGGTCGAATAAAAGAAGAGATGGACAACAGTATGAATAAAAAAGTGCCAGTAAAAAAAAAAATTAAGTGGGGTAACGTTATGGTTAACAATGTTAAATTAAATGCTCTTTTTTTCGTCCTACCGAAAATGTTCTGGGAGCCCACATTGTTCATTCACTGTTAATTCGTTTTTTGTTTTGTTTTGTTTTTTAGCTTTGTACAAGTTTGCTTCGTGCATTTAGTTTAACTGAATTGTTAAAGAGGACGAGCTTTCCCATTCAATTGTGAACTGTGTCCATGTTTTCAAGACACATAGTTTTTGCTCCGTCCATGCAATAACTGCGTCCATGTTATGAGCCATTTAGGCCTGCTTAGTGCTCTGGTATTATCAATGGGATGACTGACTCATTAAAATCAGAATATGTGCATAGCTCACTTAAATTCACTAAATAATGATCCAAAACACGAGCGCCAGTGATTGAATGTCAAAGCGCAGTTTGAAGTCCTCGCCCCCCCAGCCGAACTGGAAGTTTTGATTGGTTTTGCACCCGAGTCTGACCTGTCTGTTATTGGCTGAAGCGCTTCAGATCTGTCTGTTATTGGCTGAAGCGCTTCAGATCTGTCTGTTATTGGCTAAAGCGCCACGCAGGGCTGCACCGCAGTAGTTTGAAAATTGTGTATCAAATGACAGCTTGCACTGTTGCACCGTCGGCACATTTGTCAAAGTACTTTGTACTTTTGGTGAAAAATAAATGTAGCGAAGTTGAATGCTTTCTTTTTTTATTCTACTCAAGTAAAAGTACCACAATTTAATTATACTCAAGAAAGTAGAAAAAAATCGAAAACTCTACTCAAGTACTGCAACGAAAGTATTTGAAATTACTTTCCACCTCTGAACTAGGTGCACTTTTAGCTTTGTGAAGTTTAATAAAAAAAACTTGTTCAAAAGTCACGTAACACAGTCTCATACGTTTAAATAATTTGTCTAGTTTTAAACTTACTTAGATTACAAGAGAAATTGTTAATATTTTTCATTTTTTTCGACCTGCAATGAACAAATGTTATTTCCACCACATCTTAATATACAGCTGTTATTTAAAAATAGAATAATTTATGCCACTCAAGAATTGTCTAAGATCATTTTTGTAACTAGTTTTACCCGTTTTTCCACAATGTACAATAATTATAGCCTACATTTGTCAATGAGTACACTGAACTGTACACCTGTCACACTCTGAAATTGAATATTGGTTTGGGTAAGAGCTTATTAGAAAATAAATAACTTGAATTTGTATATTAAGTAGAGCATGATCTCATAAATTGTGGATACATATTTTAGTGTGTGATGAGAACTTTTAAAATATTTTTTAAAAATGTGTGTGGTGATGGAAATGACAGTGTGGTGGTGGAAATGACAATGAATTAACGTGAATGTATGGAAACAGTAGAGATATTTTTTAGAAAAATTCTTAAACTCATCACACTCATTAAACTCAATTCACAAAGTCATTAAACATAACCAAACCTGTTTTTAGTGTAGTGCTGAGTTTGATGTATAAAACTGATTTGTCTCACAGATGAACAGTTACAGTGCATACTAAAATAAAAATAGATAAAAATTAAATCAATTAATATAAAAGTAATATAATTTAGCAATAAAAATAATGTCATCATCCATCCATCCATCTTCTTCTGCTTATCCGGGGCCGGGTCGAGGGGGCAGCAGTCTAAGTAGAGACGCCCAGACTTTCCTCTCCCTAGACACTCACTCCAGCTCTTCCGGGGGAATACTGATGCGTTCCCAGGCCAGCCGGGAGACATAATGCCTCCAGTGCTGCCTCGGGAAGGCGTCCAGGAGGCATCCAGAAAAGATGCCCGAGCCACCTTCACTGGCTCCTCTCGATGTGGAGGAGCAGCGGCTCTACTCTGAGCTCCTCCCGAGTGACCGAGCTCCACACCCTATCTCTAAGCACCCAGCCACCATGCGGAGAAAGCTAATTTTGGCCACCTGTATCCGGGATCTTGTCCTTTCGGTCATGACCCTCAGCTCATGACCATAGGTGAGAGTAGTAACTAAGATCGGCCGGTAAATCGAGAGCTTCGCCTTGCAGCTCAGCTCCTTCTTCATCACGACAGACAGTACATCGACCGCGTTACTGCAGAAGCTGCACCGATTCGTCTGTCAATCTCCCGTTCCATCTTTCCCTCACTCGTGAACAAAACCCCAAGATACTTGAAGTCCTCCACTTGAGGGAGGAACTCTCCACCAACCTGAAGCGGGCAAACCACCCTTTTCCGACTGAGAACCATGGCCTCGGACTTGGAGGTGCCAATTCTCCTCCCAGCCGCTTCACACTCGGCTGCAAACCGTCCCAGTACACGCTGAAGGTCCTGGTCTGACGAGGCCAACACGACAACATCTTCCACAAAAAGCAGAGATGAAATCGTGTGGTCCCCAAACCGGACACCCTCCGGCCCCTGGCTGCGCCTAGAAATTCTGTCCATAAAAATTATGAACAGAACCGGTGACAAAGGGCAGCCCTGCCGGAGTCCAACATGCACTGAGAACCAGTCTGACTTACTGCCGGCAATGCGAACCAAGCTCTTGCTCCGGTCGCACAGGGACCGGACAGCCCTTAGCAAAGGGCCCCGGACCCCATACTTCCAGAGCACCCTCCACAAGACGCCGCGAGGGACACAGTCGAATGCCTTCTCCAAATCCACAAAGCACATGTGGATTGGTTGGGCAAACTCCCATGCACCCTCCAGCACCCTGTAGAGGGTATAGAGCTGTTCCAGTGTTCCACAACCGGGACGAAAACCACACTGTTCTTCCTGAATCCGAGGTTCTACTATCGGCAAAATTCTCCTCTCCAGTACCCTGGCATAGGCTTTCCCGGGGAGGCTGAGAAGTGTGATCCCCCTGTAGTTGGAACACACCCTCCGGTCCCCCTTCTTAAAAAGAGGGACCACCACCCCAGTCTGCCAGTCCAGAGGTACTGTCCCCAACCGCCACGCGATACTGAAGAGGCGTGTCAGGGCGGATCTCATCCACCCCCGGTGCCTTGCCACCGAGGAGCTTCTTGACTACCTCAGTGACTTCAGCTTGGGTGATGGACGAGTCCACCTCCGAGCCCTCGGCCTCTGCTTCCTCAATGGAAGACGGTGGGATTGAGGAGATCCTCGAAGTATTCCTTCCACCGTCCGACGATATCCCCAGTTGAGGTCAACAGCTGCCCACCTCCACTGCAAACAGTGTTGGTAGGGCACTGCTTCCCCCTCCTGAGGCGCCGGACGGTTTGCCAGAATCTCTTCCAGGCCAACTGACAGTCCTTCTCCATGGCCTCACCAAACTCCTACCAGGGGCATATAACCCCGGACAACATAGCTCCTAGGATCATTCGTGTACTCAAACCCCTCCACCACGATAAGGTGGCAGTTCAAGGAGGAGGGGGATATATAATATCATAATATAAATATAAATATAAAAAGTATTGTAATACATTATAATATAAAAAGTATTACACAAATCATTTTTACCACATGCTGTCATTTCCACCACAGAGGGCAGTGTGAAAATGACTTTTAGCTTTTTAAAAACACCCTTGAAGGTACAGCATGTTTGGAAATGACGTAGAATAAATATATTAACTGATATTAACAATATTTACCTTGATTGCCCTTCATTTGTTGTTGATGAAAATTTTAATTCCCTCCATGTCCAACATGTGCTCTGTCACTGAACATTTCCATAAAATCCACCTAAACAATCTTTCACACAAACTTTTTAAAGGGACATTATAGTGTTGTGGTGGAAATGACACCGGTACTGTGCGACAGCTATATTTTGGATAAAAAGCAATATTGAAAGTGAAAAGTTTTCTTTGTTTAACTTTTACAAAACCCTGACAATTTTCACTGTGGTTTCTGACTTTTGGCCCTTTCCTCTACTAACAGGTGGAGGAGTTTCTCGGCCCACATCCTGACTACGATGAGGAGGAAGAGGAGCGCAAGTACTACAGACGAAAGAGGCTGGGTGTAGTGAAGAATGTGGTGGGGGCCAGTTGCGGAGGAATGATCATCTACAGTGTTTACATGGGTCAGCCATTTGCGCACCACACACCACAGGCACACAGTATGATTCAGTCTAGCGATGACCTCATACTCTTCAAAGTCTGTGTGCGCGGTTTTATAAAAAGATTCTACTGTAAATACGACATTGAGTAGGACTCTACGTCTCAGTGGGATTTTATTATGCACTGTCTGCTTCTATGCAGTGCCAATGAATATGACATGCTTTGTGGATGGCATACTTGAGTGACTCTTCACTCATCTGGTCTTTTTTAGCAAGTTTATTGGCATTGATGCCTCAAAGATGTCTCATTTGGTCTGAGAATGTGAAATTGAGGAACAGCTGACAAATCTCTTGTCACATGCCATAAGTAAGGATTTGGGAGTGTTGTGCCTGTTTTCCACAAATTGTTTCTCTGTAGGTCTATTACAGATGCAGTTAATTCTGCACTACGATGAGACGTACCGAGAGGTCAAGTATGGCACCCTAGGGCTGGAGGATATCGACAACAAAATGCTGATGGGCATCAACGTTACGCCTATCGTCGGCTTGCTCTACACACCGGTGCTCATTAGGTAGCATACTGTGATACTGACTGTTGTTAGTGTATTTCCTTGCATTTCTGTTTCTTTGGTAATGCTCATGCAAACTACATTATTCCGCTTTTCTCATTTAGTTTGGTTCTTTGGATGTTTGTTTGTCACCCACCAACACTGTTATTAGCACTTCTTCATCTACTGTCCACTTAATGCTTGAGCAGTTTTGGCACCAAAGGTCTTCTCACACCCATGGTGTAAACTAAGAATGACTTTTGATAACTGCAGTCCAGTACGGCCACTCTTTCACTTTTAATTAAAGTTTATTTCACAATTTCTTCCTCAGATTTTTGGGGACTAAATGGATGATGTTCCTAGCTTCAGGCATCTATGCTCTTTTTGTTTCAACCAATTACTGGGAGCGATACTACACTCTTGTTCCATCAGCTGTGGCCATTGGTGTTGTCATTGTTCCTCTGTGGGCATCCTTGGGAAACTACATTACAAGGTGAGGGTGTTCAAAAGTGGTGCGTAGATCACACCAGCGTTCAAAAGATTTTATTTTTGGAAGAAATGAATACTTTTACTCAGCAAGGATGCTTTAAATTGATCAAAAGTGACAGTGAAAAAAGATTTATAATGTGACAAAAGATTTCTATTTCAAATAAATGCTGTTCTTTTGAACTTTTTATTAGTCAAAGAATCCTGAAAGAAAATTATATATTAAACAGAACAATGTCAACATTTATAATAATATTAAGAAATGTTTCTTAAGCTCCAAATTAGCACATTAGACTGATTTCTGAAGGATCATGTGACACTGAAGACTCTGAAAATTCAGCTTTGCCATTACAGAATAAATTTTTTTTTTATATATTAAAATAGAAAACAGTTGTTTTAGATTGTAATAATATTTTGCGATATAACCATTTTTATTGTATTTTTGATCTAATAAATTTGGTGAGCAGAAGAGACTTCTTTCAAAAACATGAAACAATCTTACCAACCCCAGAATTTTGAGCGGTACTGTATATGTCAATCATTTTAAGCATGTTTTTAGGCATTTACAGTACTTTATTTTACTACTTAATATTGCACTCATTCATTTAGCATAATATTTAGCAAAATAAAGCAAAACTAAAGGTGCAGCTTTGATGCATAATTTATTGTTACCATATGGATTATTGGCAAATATTAGAGATTTTTCAAATGTATCTCTTTAAGTTGATATTGTGTATATATATTTTGCGGTTACTGGCCATAACATGAAAATAATTACTGGTATTTGTTTATTGGTATAGGGCAGAATTATAAAACTGGTGAATCCTTAGCGGTGTGTAATATTTTCAAAACAAAAAATGATCCTAGTTTTAGCAGTTACTGTAAGCCTTTTCTAGGTTGATTTCCAATAGTGCAGCATCAACTCAACCAATCAAATCCGTGAGTTGGTAGACTGGAAGTATTTAGGAAACCTGATTGGTCATTATTTTTCTGATTATTTAGCTAGCAGTTCTCAGCTCCTCACATTGTCTAAGCAAAAGCTCACTACTCAGTTATACATCTATTTGTATCTAACTTCCCACCTGTGTGCTTATCAGAATGGCCCAGCAGTACTATGAGTATGTGAACTATAAGGACGAACATGTCCAGGAGCAGAAGAAGCCCCCCAAAGGAGCCTTCCATCCTTACATCATAATTTTCCAGTCCGTCTTCTACATTGTTTTCCATGTGAGTTAAGATAAGCAGTAAAAAAGGCACTCTTAAAATGTGTGAAAGGCTGTAAGCAGTAATAGTTAGGCTGTGATTAGTTGTGTTCTCCCCTTTGCCATCATAACTAAAGTATTTGTGTGTATTCACAGCTGCGTGTGTGTGTGTGTGTGTGTGTGTGTGTATGTGTCAGATGCCGGCTGCATATGTGGGTTTGTGCATTAACATGCAGTTATTTATAGAGTTCACTCTGTCTCTCTTCTCTCCCTGCAGCTGAGTTTCGTGTTCGCCGAGTTCCCCATGGTGCTGTTCCTCAATAACTATCTGAATGATTACAATCACACTCTCTTCAAAGTCACACAGTGTGGTAAAATCCTCTATCTCAATGGTGTCCTTTTTTAGCTTTCACGCTGACATTTTAGGAGCTCAGTATGATATTTGCATAGTATTAGTTCTCATGTCCTTTTGTGGAGTTTTGACATGCTTGATTCATGTAGAATAAGTCATGTAGAACTAAAAGAAGAACATTATAAAGTACTCAAGATTTTCTAAACTTTGAGACTTTTAAAAAGGTGTTCTTTTGTTGGATAATTCTGGAAGTTATACTTCCACTAACTATAAAAAAAATCGATAAAACTACCACACCAAGCATAAGGTATAGATATATATATTTATAAGGGAGCAACAAAATTTAAAAACAAGAAAAACTTTGACACTGTGGAAAAACAATATTTCACCTCAACAGCTGTTGTTTGAACACCAGCTCTACAAGACTTGAAAATGAGTAACTCAGTGACAGAAAAAGATCAATCTCCATGTGCGGTGGCCCCAAAAAGAATTGACACATAAGCCATTCTTATAAATGTATGAATTACATAACAAATTATCATACCAAATGCTATTTATGTTTACACTGCCATTCAAAAGTTTGTCAGTGCAATTATGTAAGGGTTTTTACAGAAGCCTTTTATGCTCACCAAGGCTGCATTTATTTGATAAAAAAACAGTAATATTGTGAAATATTGTTACAATTTTAAAGATCTGTTTTTTATTTGAATAAGTTTTAAAATGTAATTTATTCCTGTGATGGCAAAGCTGAATTTTCAGCATTATTACTTTAGTATTCAGTGTTACATGATCCTTCAGAAATCATTTTATTATGCTGATATAGTGCTTCTTAATATTTTTGTGGAAACAATGATAGATTTTTTTCAGCATTGTTCATCAATTAAATTAATATGTTAAATATGGCCTAAAAGTGTCCAAATCCAATTAACACCAAAGAAAACAATTTAAAAATCTTATCAAAACCATCTTGAATATGTGTTAGTTCCATGTGTTGATGATGATGAGAACATATCTCGCAAAATAAAACCGAATGTGTCAAGAATATTTACAGTCAGTTGGATCTGATGGGAAAAAATCAGTCATTTGGCAATTAAACTTCACACTTCTGACTTGCTGCAAACCAAGGGCGTCAGCACATCTGCTCTTCAATGTACTGCTGTGTCTGGCTCTTCCTGGCTCTCAGCAGAGATGACGATAAGGTTTTTTTTTAACCAGTATTTGAAATAGCAAAATAGCCAATCACGCCAAATCACCAGCATCACTGCAAAATGTGGGAAGTCACCCACTTGCCATATTGTATAGTGAAAAACCTGAAAGAAGCAGCCTGAAGTCTATTCAACTTTATGCATCCAGACCAAATTTTAGTTTAAAACATTTGCAGTCTTGTTAGATACACTGAACAAAATTATAAACGCAACACTTTTGTTTTTGCCTCCATTTTTCATGAGCTGACTTTTTCTATGTACACAAAAGGCCTATTTCTCTCAAATATTGTTCACAAATCTGTCTAAATCTGTGTAAGTGAGCACTTCTCCTTTGCCGAGATAATCCATCCACCTCACAGGTGTGGCATATCAAGATGCTGATTAGACAGTATGATTATTGCACAGGTGTGGCTTAGGCTGGCCACAATAAAAAGTCACTCTAAAATGTGCAGTTTTACTGTATTTTCCGGGAGGGTCCGAAAACCAGTCAGTATCTGGTGTGACCGCCATTTGTCTCACGCAGTGGAACACATCTCCTTCGCATAGAGTTGATCAGGTTGTTGACTGTGGCCTGTGGAATGTTGGTCCACTCCTCTACAATGCCTATGCGAAGTTGCTGGATATTGGCAGGACCTGGACCACGCTGTCGTATACGCCGATCCAGAGCACCCCAAACATGCTCAATGGGTGACATGTCCGGTGAGTATGCTGGCCATGCAAGAACTGGGATGTTTTCAACTTCCAGGAATTGTGTACAGATCCTCCAACATGGGGCCGTGCATTATCATGCTGCAACATGAGGTGATGGTCGTGGATGAATGGCACAACAATGGGCCTCAGGATCTCGTCACGGTATCTCTGTGCATTCAAAATGCCATCAATAAAATGCACCTGTGTTCGTTGTCCATAACATATGCCTGCCCATACTATAACCTCACCGCCACCATGGGCCACTCGATCCACAACGTTGACATCAGCAAACCGCTCACCCACACGACGCCATAAACGGTGTCTGCCATCTGCCCTGTACAGTGAAAACCGGGATTCATCCGTGAAGAGATCACCTCTCCAAAGTGCCAGACGCCATCGAATGTGAGCATTGCCCACTCAAGTCGGTTACGACGACGACGAACTGCAGTCAGGTCGAGACCCCGATGATGACAGTTGATCAGGTGATGCAGATGAGCTTCCCTGAGACGGTTTCTGACAGTTTGTGCAACAATTCTTTGGTTCTGCAAACTGATTGTTGCAGCAGCTGTCCGGGTGGCTGGTCTCAGACGATCTTGAAGGTGAAGATGCTGTATGTGGAGGTCCTGGGCTGGTGTGTTTACACGTGGTCTGCGGTTGTGAGGCCGGTTGGATGTACTGCCAAATTCTCTGAAACGCCTTTGGAGACGGCTTATGGTAGAGAAATGAACATTCAATTCATGGGCAACAGCTCTGGTGGACATTCCTGCAGTCAGCATGCCAATTGCACGCTCCCTCAAAACTTGTGACATCTGTGGCATTGTGCTGTGTGATAAAACTGCACATTTTAGAGTGGTCTTTTATTGTGGCCAGCCTAAGGCACACCTGTGCAATAATCATGCTGTCTAATCAGCATCTTGATATGCCACACCTATGAGGTGGATGGATTATCTCGGCAAAGGAGAAGGGCTCACTAACACAGATTTAGACAGATTTGTGAACAATATTTGAGAGAAATAGGCCTTTTGTGTACATAGAAAAAGTCTTAGATCTTTGAGTTCAGCTCATGGAAAATGGGGGCAAAAACAAAAGTGTTGCGTTTATAATTTTGTTCAGTGTACATTATTTTCTCTTTTCTAATCGTATCCTCTCTCTCTCTCTCTCTCTCTCTCTCTCTCTCTCTCTCTCTCTCTCTCTCTCTCTCTCTCTCTCAGGTGCTAGTGGGAAAGGCGTGATAGAGAATTTCAACAAGACAGTTTTGCGCAGTTTGCCTCGCTCTCTGCTGCTCATCGAGGTGGAGAGTGTGCTCATGGGGGCAGCCTTCCTTGCCATGCTTATTGTAAGACCATCATTGTCATTATTATCATCATTATGACGTCTCTATTCTCTGCATCATCTTAAATACCCCTTAAAATTAGGACTAAATCAGTAAGTAAATCACTAGATACAGTTTATAGCCAACAACAGTTTGACCTTGATAGTCCTCACATAGACATTTCAAATTGAGCCAAAGTTTGAGGCCTTTTTTTTTAGTATATATAGATAAAAAAGGAATGTCTTCCCTTAGAAATTAAAATCTTTTATTTAGCTATTAAAATATTCAAAATATTTGTTATTCAAAATCCATAAGATTTTCTGGTAACACTTGACTTTATTACTATAGTAAAACAGTAAATTATGTACTGTGTAAACTGCCCTACAAAGCAAAAAGGCAGTAACTGCATTTTTGGTCAAAAATGAGTTATTATCATTTTCATGACATTCAAGGCATCCTTTGTTATGTGACAAAACATCTTATCTCAAATGTGTGTGGTTTTGGAGAAAAATGGTAGTCGTTTGTACAGTAACTGCAAAAAGCCCTGGCCTAGTGAAACAAAGCAAGAGTACAGTAACATCCATTACTGTATTCTTGTTATGTTTTACCTAACAAAAAATAACCGTGTTGCTGCGCAGTGCAGTTACTGTTGCCATGGTGAACACACCGCTAATTTCGCGGCATCCTCACGGGACGGTTTTAACATTTGCGATTTCACGCTTCTAACTTCACACAAATTTAGTTTGAGATGCAGTGTTTCCCCTAATTGTTCCCCTACCAAACTAACACACACACACACACACACGCGCGCGCGCGCGCTGAAGCACGTGTGTAACATTTGAGCTGTTTTTTTGCCTATATGAGGACACGGTCTTCACGGCAACCCGTCAAAATAAAAGTTCGGTTTAACCTATTTTTTACAGTCTATGGGTTTAACTTGACAGAAATATATTACTGTTGTACAGTAGAATTTAGAAACGTCTCAATGTAATATTAATACTAACACTAATACAAATAAATTAAGATTAAAACTTCAATGTTTTAATTTTAACAGTAAAGCTCATTGTGCAGCATGTTGTTTGACCAAAAATGTTTGTTTTTAAAATGTTGTATAAGTTTAATAATAGTTTATAATAAAAGTTTCATGATTTCAATTAATTAGACATGATTTTTGATTACTAAAAATTTACACCACATATCCGTAACACGCCCGCTCCGCAACACTAGTTTCGCAACACAAAAATTTTGAAAATGTTGTCCAAATGGTTCCATTTATTTCAAACACAATGTATCAGACCTAGAGCCCAAGTTGTGGCAAAGTAGTTTTGGGAGAATCTGTAGTTACTGCCTTTTCCCTTCGTATGGTGCCACGTTTTTGGTAAGTAATACAAAGCAAGAATACAGTAACTGCAAAATAGGGGTAAAATATCAAATTAAATATGAGGATTGATATGTACAAAGAATAAGCTAATATAAAGTAACAAAACAGCCACATGTCCAATAATCTACCTACAACTACTTAGGCTGGATGACAGGATAACTTTAAAGTCATTTTTCTCTGTTCTGCACTCTGCGTAGTTACTGCCTTTTTGCTTTGTAGGGCAGTAAAATACAAGCAACTAACACAATACCAACCAAATCTTAACCCTAAAGAACATATTGTTAAATAATATTACTCAGTACTTATTTGTTTAATTACACTGTAACAAGGACACCTTTAAAAAAGTGTGACTTTTCTTTTCTTTATGAAAAATTTCCACGTAGTGAAAGTGAATGAGACAATGACAATCAAAAAAACAAACAAAAAAAGCATTATAAAATTATCATAGAAGTGGTACATATGACGCATGCACTATATTCCAAATCTTAGTGGGGTGAACAAACTGAAATTTGATCATTGGTCAATAAAAGGTACACTATGTAACTTTTTTTTTTTTTAATTATCAAAATTTAAATAATGATTCAATACATCATCACCCTGATTCACTCTTGTAGTGCTATTATAAGTATTTATATTTTAGACCAAGCGGGATGTTTTTCATGCAAAATTGTGTACTTGCATCACTCGTTCGTGTATGTCGCATCACATCCGTGAATAGAGAAAAGTTGCTTCGGATTCATAGGTTAGTCGTCACAATGAGTGAGAAAGGTTGACATGGAGCAGCTAAATCGTCTAGGTTACGACTGTAACCTCTGTTCCCTGAGAACAGGGAACGAGACACTGCGTCGATGACGCTTTGGGGAACGCCTCAGGCGTGACCGGTGTCTGAAATCACAATCAAATCACGGCAATCACATTGACCGGTGACAGCCTGTGAATCATTAGCGTGAATGATTAACGTGCGACCTGGTAGTATAAAAGGGCGCCTTGCAAACATGACAAATCATCTTACCGTCTGAAGGGACTGTTCGGTAGGTAAGCCCCGAGGCATGGCGAGGAGACGCAGTGTCTCGTTCCCTGTTCTCAGGGAACAGAGGTTACAGTTGTAACCTAGACGTTCCCTTTCGAAAGGGAACTCGCACTGCGTCGATGAATGCAGCCATCAAAATAAAAAAAAATTCATATTTACACAATATAATTATGTTGGTCAGTGAAAACATTGGAAAGCGTTTCTTTGTACTTTTGTCAGCTAATAAAAGGTTAAATAGAATAAACAAAACACAGATTCTTGATTTTATTGCATTTTACAAAATGTCCCAACTTTTTTCTGATTTGGGGTTGTAGACACTTAGTCCGGCCAATTCCTGTCTGTCCGAAGACAGAGCCTCTGGACACTTGCCTTAGGTAAGGCATCCAACCCGAGAGACTGCGAAGCTGGCAGTGAACCACTCGGCCCGGATCTCAGAGACGGGATATCCCGGAGAGTATGACTCAGCATAGTGCTTCCCAACCCTTGCCAGCGAGGGGAGTTTCTCTACTCGATCCACGGATCTACCCAGTGTTTATGTCTCAAAACACTGAGGAGGCCTGATCTAACTGGGAGGTCTCACGAGAGGCCTACGACCGTCTGACCAGACTCAGGAGTCCGCATGCTCATAGTGACCCTCGATGAGGGGAGCACATGGTCCGCCTGGTAGGCAAAACCAGGCTGTAGGCAGGAAAGAGGTTCCGGGAGGGAACCAGTAGCAGAGAGTGAACACTTTAGTCGAGCCAGGGCGCAAGCTCGCCTTCAGCAGCTGCCTGCTAAGACCAGCTGAACTGATAGCAAGAGGCCACTAGCTTCCTGAACCCAGCACCGCTAGGAAACCACTCACAGGGAGGCCTGGTGAGGCCTACTACCTGATAGCTACAGTATGTGGTCACCTTCAGGGAGGCCTAGTGAGGCCTACTACCTGATAACGATAGTACGTGGGGAACTCAACCTCAGGGAGGCCTGTAGAGGCCTACTACCTGATAACCATAGTGTATGGGGAACTCACCTTCAGGGAGGCCTGGAGAGGCCTACTACCTGATAACCATCATGAGTGGGAATTCACCTGCAGGGAGGCCTGAGGAGCCTACTACCTGATAGCAACTGGTAGCCGAGTCCGGGTAATAGTTCCAAGGCGGCCTCCTGAGGCCAGCCAGCTGGGGACTCGCCTATCAGGGAGGCCTGGTTGGGCCTACTAGCTGATAGCAAGTCAATTCTGCTACAAAGGCACACTGTTGGGAACCATACTACACCAACATAACTATTGGGCCCAGCCACAGGAGGCCTAATACGGCTAGCTACCTGGTAGCATCTATAAAGTATGTCCCACAATGTTGGGACTCACCTCCGAGGAGGCCTGTTAAGGCCTACTACCCATCGCTGAGTCAACTGCCCGAACCACTAAGGCCAACCACGTGAAGTAGCCTACAGTACCATCTTGGGGGGCTGCCCATTCAAGGAGGCCTGCTGAGGCCTACTACCTAATGGCGCAGTCTTCGATGGCAGATAAGCTGTTTACACAGCGCCTACATCATCCGGGTGCCTAATCACATTGCCCATGGCAGTGTACTCAGCAAGAAAGCTAGCACCCTTAAAAAAAGGGGAGTACATAATATGCCACTCTGCCTCAACGGGAGCCCCAGAGTTAGGGGCCCACCATCTATAGACGAATCCGGCGAAACTACCGGAAGTAAGGGGGGGCCATTACTGAGCTGTTGCTGGGTAGCGTTGCGCCATTGCCTCCTATTGTTTTATTTGCAACTTGCGTCCACTGGAATAAACAGCCCGCGATTTACGACTGTCACTAACATTACAACTTTTATAATGTCGAGTGGGAAAACATGTTGGTATTTTGAAAAATCATCGGATGCCAGGCGAAGGAGAAAATACTCTTGAATACCTTTAAAACAACAGAAGGAGTTGGGGTAGTAACGTTAGTAACAGTAGCAGCTACTGTTATGTCTGTTGTTAATGTTTGATTTGCTTGACTGTGACAGATTTGTTTTTAAATAAATTAAATTAAATATGCATTTTTTGTTATAATAACAATTATTTAATGACGTAAGTAAAAAAAAATATAATGAATATGTAATATAGTGCTCAGCAAAATCTCCTCTCTAGCTATTTTTTCTATTCAATTAACATGCTATGGTCATTAAATGGCTTTCCTGAGCTAAATGTAACGTTATGTGACATAATTGTTCTCCTGCTGTTATATTGACCTCTTTCCATGGTTTAAAAACACTAATTGGTCGATATTATGTATACATTCTAGCTGTACCTTACCCTTGCCTTTTGCAATGTGAAAATGAGATAAATAATGGACACAAATGAAAAACATGAATTCGTTTATTTGATGTCATTCATTTATTTATTGTTGCCAAATGGACAGATCTTTTTATAATTTCCTCGTTAGCTAACGTTAGCCTAGCTAGCTTGCCAAGCTATTTCATAAATAATCTGTAAGATCGTTTGTACCTTCATCTGTGACTGGAGGCCACTGTCTAACATCATCAACCCAACAAGTCATTCTGCCTGGCTGTAGCTGTCACATAGAGCTGTCATCGAGGGTGCGTTATCACCACAGTCTATGGTTATCACGGATGTTTGTTTACATACCGGTAACAGCTCAGTAATGGCGTCGCCACAAGATGGCAGCCTACACAGAACGCTCGTCGGATTCGTCTATACGCATGGGCGTCAGGTCAGGGCAATGCTCTGGCTTCAGGGGAGCGTACTTCGACCAAAAAAGAAGTGAAGGCTAAACTTTCCACTCGACCCGAGCCATAGTGGAGCGAGGTAGGATAATACAGAACTGGAAGTGAAGCGCTCAGACCTACCCTGTATCACAGGGGAATACACACACCTGACCCTGGGGTCACCAGGGTGCGGGCCTGCCAGCGGCTCTAGGGGTGACAGAAATTTATCTGTGCCCAACTCAGGGGAGTGGGGCTAGTCTTGAGAGCCACCCACCTACAACCCAGCGCTCGAGCAGTAGCTCAGCGAGGCGAGTGAAGCCTATACTGGCGGCCAAGATACGTATACCAGTTCTCCACGGCAGGGTCGGGCAGACAGAACCAGTCCTCTTCGTGAAGCGAAAGACGGCCTAACCCTGCTCAATAAAGACATATGTACCATGGAGGCCTATTTGAGGCCTAACCATGTTCTTTATAAACCATCCTCTGCACCACGCTGCATTACTCTTGTTGCCCCAGAATGCAGAGAAGGCGGCGGGCCTTGGCCTATGGACTCCCAAGGGAGGAGGCTGTCATACAGGGACGCTAGGAACCTACATTCACAAAGTGAAGAGTCAGAGGCAGAAATGTTTAAGCAGAGCGCCTCCACTATCCCTGGCACAGCCTAGGCCAGCTACAGAGGAGGCCCTGGTGAGGGCCAGCCTGCAAGCATAGATCTACCTGAGGGCTTGGAGGAGCCACAGCCTTACTAGAAAAATAGTTATTATTATTTCAACAAGGGCTGCAGAATCGCTCAGCCCACTGAAAACCCAAACAGAGCTCAAGGGGGCGATGTACTCAGGAAAGAAGTCAGACGGCCCCGTGGGCCGGACACAAGATCTATCTGAAGCTCTAGCGTCAGTCAACACTCCAAGTAAAAAATTCTATGAGAGAAAGACCAACTACTCTACCTGAGGTGGCTAACAGCCCGGAGGCTAACATAGTTATCGTTCTGGCCACCTAATGGGGAACTTCAGGGCCCTAATAATCCAGGACATTTCTCTTACCTTTCTCTTACCTGCATTTCTCTTACCTGCGGGAGTCACGCCTCTTCTGCGCCCTGCTCCTCCAAGGAGGGGGCGCACGAGAGGTGACGCTGGCTCGCTGGCCCTGCCTATGGTCCTCAGACCGTGAAGGGCCAGGTCCTCTCGCCTGCCTGGGTGTGGATATGGATCTCAGCGGTATACATGTTTTAAATGCAGCTGAGCGCGCCTTCGCCTCCCTGAACTTCCCCACCACCGCCTCTACGGAGGTGCCGAAGAGTTCAGAGGGCGAAACCGGTGAATCGAGGAGAAAGGCCTTCTCTTTCTCCCCGATGTCGGCTAGATTTAGCCACAGATGTCTCTCCGTGGCCACCATCGCCGCCATCGACCAACCGACCAATCACGGCAGCGGTTTGCTTGGTGGCACGGAGAGCAAGATCCGTGGTATGGAGCAGCTCAGCCACCGCTTCAGGGGATATTCCTGCCCCCTGATCGAGATCCCCCAGCAGGTCGACCTGGTATGCCTGCAGCACCGCCATGGTGTGCAGGGCAGCACTGGCCTGACCTGCTGCCGTGTACACTCTGCCATTCAAACGCGCCGATGTTTTCAACGGTTTGGATGGCAGGGTTGGAGCTCTCAGTGTCGGTGCCCACCCAGACACGAGATAGTTTGCGAACGTCTCATCAATGGGCGGCATCGACACGTACCCATGCTCCTCGATCCCCTCAACATCAGCAAAACTAGCTCGCTGATGTCGGTGGATACGGGGAGAGTATGGGTTCTTCCATGCCCTCTCGACCTCAGTATGAAGGTCGGGAAGAAATGGAAGGCTCACCTGAGCTGGTGGTCTATGGCCGGGGAGAAACCGATCGTCGAGCCTGCCGTGAGCGATCTCTCCTCTAGCGCGTCGTCAAGGCAGCTGCTGCCTGCCGGCGGCGGGCTCCATTACATCCACCAGCTCTGCATACACTGGGCAGGGTGGCTGAGGGGGTTCAGGATCTACCTGATCATACACCTCCTCAGCCATCTCCTGCGCATCCTGAAGAGCATCAGCTGCGGGAAGAGTCGGTGAAAAATCTTCATCCTCAACCTGCAGCTCGCTCTCGTCAGTCGTCGGGTCATCTGAAAGGTTTACGGCCCTCTCAAGGTGATCAACGAGCTCCATCTGGGAGCCCCATGATGCAAGCCGTCGCTCTGCCCCGGCACGAGCGGCACCTGAACCACGAGGTCCAGATGCTGAGCCCTCTTAACTTGAGAAGAAGGCCAGACGAGAGTGGAGCGTTTTCACAGAAAAACGCTGACAGTTTGCACAGCAGGCTCCCTCAAGAACCTCCCGTGCATGCTCTTCTCCCAGGCAGAAAACGCACAGCTCGTGTGTGTCACCCGGCGTCAAAAACCTTGGGCACGGGTCTGCACACTTCTGAAAACAATCAGCTTTTGCTGCACGTTTCATTTTCTCACCGTTTTTTTGAGTTGCGTTTCACACAGACAGTCCCTGAAGACGAAAAGATGATTTGTCATGTTTGCAAGGCGCCCTTTTATACTACCAGGTCGCACATTAATCATTCACGCTAATGATTCACGGGCTGTCGCCGGTCAATGTGATTGTCGTGATTTGATTGTGATTTCAGACACCTGTCACACCTGAGGCATTCCCCAAAGCGTCATCGACACAGTGCGAGTTCCCTTTCGAAAGGGAACTCCAACCTCCGGGGAATCCCCAGTAAAAAAAAAAAAAAAACGCAGAACAGAGGCGAGTCTGCTGGCAAAAAGAGAACGTGACAGAGCTCGTGATAAAACCAGAATCAACATTAGTTTGACTTTTCGGAGATGATGACGAGAACTGAAGGATTTGAAATGTTGTAAAAGCGACGCGGAAATAACGCTTTTATTACTCAACAGGCGAGTAAGGTATTTTACTGAACACATACTGTAAACTCCCATATGTAGCTCTCTAACAGAGTTCATTGTAAAGCATTATCTATTGTGAAGGGTCATTTCATTATGGTTGTTGTAGCGCTGTGCTGGAATTTATTTTCAAATAAGTACTGTGTCTATTAATGGATATAGCTACGGTAAGTCCGCTAGTCAACTTGAGATCCTTTCCATCTAAACTGGATATATTTTAGTATTGAATGTTTTATGAGCAGTAGGATAACCATATTCATCCGCACAGTCACACAGAGCCGAAGTTTTTTTTATTTCTATGTAGTTTTTAAGAATTTTAATTTGGAAAATGGTTTTAGTTTGTTTGTTAACTATAATAACCCTGAATTAAGTTAACTAAAAATCTTGCCCTTGTTTGATATCAGCAAAATATAATTTGGTATGTTCCTCACACAAAGTTATCATATGGTTTCAGAAGACTTGCACGAGTGTTCCACGTTAAAGATTTTTCATTTTTGAGTGAACCTTTTTAACAGTGTGCTTCCAATGTTCCCCAAATAGTTCCTGGTGTTGTGCGGAGCTGCATATCGGCCCACAGAGGAAATTGACCTTCGCAGCATCGGCTGGGGGAACATCTTCCAGCTGCCCTTCAAGCACTTACGTGACTACCGTATCCGTCTGCTCTGTCCGTTCTTCATCTACTCTGGCTTTGAAGTGCTGTTCGCCGTGCAGGGACTCATACTGGTGAGAGAAAATAGACTGTGTATCTGTACGTTAATCAAATATACAGTTAAAATCTGAATACCAAAAGTCACACAGTGTCAGCTCTCAGCACTGAATATTTTTTTAGTTTTTCGTGTTGCCATTCTACAATATTAAAGGGTTATTTCACACAAAAATGAAAATTCTGTCAATATTTACCTCACACTTATGTTGTTCCAAACCCATAAGACTTTGGTTAATCTTAAAAACACAAACCAAAATAATTTTATTAAAAACCCCTGGGAGGTTTCTGTCCCTCCATTGAAAGTCCAGGTAAAATATTCAAAAAGGTCATAAAGGCATCATAAAATGAACCCTAATGAATAGAGATACTTAAAGTCTTGAAGGGATACGATCACTTTATATGATGAACAGATTTAATTTAGGCTTTTATTCACATATAAATACACACATAGAGAAAATCACATATGGTAAACATGGACGTTTGTGTGATGCGTCCCATGCTAGAACAAACCTCATTGGTTCAACTTCCACGTTTACCAAATGTATCTGTCGATCCTTGTTTAGATGTAAATAAAAGCCTAAATTAAATCTGTTTGTCATATAAAGTGATCGTATCTCTTCACAAGTCTTGAATTAAACCACTTGATTCATATGGATTTGTTTTATGATGCCTTGATGACCTTTTTGAATCTTTTAAGTTTTGGTTACCTGGACCATCAATGGATGGACAGAAACCTCTCAGGTTTCATTTAAAAATATCTTAATTTGTGACGACATGAGGGTGAGTAACGTTAAATAATGAAAGAATTTTCATTTTTGGGACTAACCATTTAAGCAACTACGAAAAGCAAGTAAACCAATTTGCCTGGTATTTAGGTTAATTATGCTATTAAAGCGTTGTTAAACTAACAGTGCACAATCACTCATAACCTAAAACAGATTTTCTCTTTTTTTTTATCCCTCCCTTTCTCAGTCATATGGAGTGTGTTCGGTCGGGATGGAGAAGCTGTGGTTGTTGGTTATGGTGTATGGTTTGTCATCCTCAATCTGTTCGGGCCTGGCCCTGATGCTGCTGCGCTTTCCCAGGCCGGTTATTCTTCTGTCGGGAGCTTTCGTGCACTTTGTGCTAATCATAACCCTTATGTGCTGGTCGCCCCAACCCAAAACACCTAGCTATCTTCCCTATCTGTTGGTGCTCGCTGCCCTCTGGGGTCTGGGCACTGCTTGCAACAAGACTGGACTGAGCAGTGAGTACAAATGGCATTTATACATTCAAAACATACAGGATGTAGAAAAAAAATACAGGAAATAGCCATCTAGACTGATTCTGGGAGAGGTTAGATTGCAATCACATCAATGATATGACATTTAACATAACATTGTTGTGTGTAGTTTTGCTGGGGATGCTGTATGAAGACAAGGAGCGACTAGACTTTGTTTACACCATCTACCACTGGTGGCAGGCCATTGCCATCTTCATCGTCTACCTTTGGTCTTCATTTCCTATGCGAGTAAGGCCTTTATTTCTTTAGGTTTTGATTTCATACTTTGCATTTGCTGTTACAGGATGCCAGTCAAACAAAAATAATAGGGTGCAAATATGACTTGTTTAATTTACAAATTACAGAATCGCTGGTGGCTGTTCAGAAGGGATTTAGTTGTATTTCAGTGTATTTAGCATAAATCAGTTCCAAATTAATGTTGTTACTTTTGAGATCCTAGTTGTTTTTGTGCCATATAAATATCACTCTGTGATGAAATAGTTCTGCCTGTTTAAAAAAAATAAAGAATACTATCAAAAGTTGATCACTTAATTCACCTTAATTACACATTGTCACATGAGAACGAGCCAGTTTATACATAGTATGCATTACATTTCCCTGCTCATTTCAAATGAGATTGATGAAGGTAACTGAGCGGTTAAGTGATGAAGTCGGTTGTAAACTCAGTAACAACTTGATTCTGAATGATTCACTGAGTTTGATTCAAGTTCAAAGCCATTCCGTTAAACTGTTTGACTGAAGGCGCAATCACATATCTACTGCTGTTCGATATTGTTTAGTCATTTCAATAGGAATCCACATGATCGGGAATTTCATGTGATGGCGAAAGATCTTGCAGATATGCACATCGGGTTCAGTCAGTCGTACAAATTCACAACGCTGAACAACAGAAAGCTGCTTTGTTTGAAAGTGATTTCTGTGTTAGTTGTGCTTCATACATCTCTACACCATTGACAATAGATAATCGATTTTTAGTTTGGGACATCAGGCTGTGTTATTGCATACACACGACTGGCATGCACTCTAATAAGATGGTCATTTTAGTCGCAGTGTGGAGTCCTATTTGTGCGGTCACATTAGTGATATTTTAGCAAAATTTCAAGGGCAAAAAAGTCTATTAAAAATCTATGCAGCACAGCATAAAAAGGAGTTACTTTCAAACCAACATTCGCATGACCAACTTGAACATGAGCGAAATCTGCGTGGGGAACTTCGCCTTCACGCGTAACTCCCGATCGCACAGATTCCTACTGAAATGACTGGATTTTGTCCACAAATTTTGTCCACCTTAATATGTGGAGATTTTTTGTTTACATATTAACACAGAATTAAAAATCAATGTTTAAAGGGGTCATATAATGCCATTTTTGTACAAGCTAATATGATTCTTTAGGGTCTAAATTAAAAGTTTGTAATATACTTTAATTAAAAATTCTCATTAGTATTGTAAGAAAACACTTATTTTACCTGGTCAAAAACAGCTCTGTTTTCAGCACGCCGTTTCAGTGCATATGCCTTTAAATGATAATGAGCTTTGCTCACCCCGCCTCTCTGTTCTGTGCATACACCATTTGTAACACAATAACACAATAACCATAATGCGTTGTTCAGTATAAACGTGGGATTATGAATTATATTGAGAACGTCATACATAGAAAACATGCCGAAATGTACCCTGAGTGTAAACCTTAGACGCATTCATTGTGAAGCATGCAGCTAGCGATTTGCAAAGATTAATATATTAATATAAAGTTTAATAAAACGTTACACTCACTTCCGTTCTTCTGGAGATTCAGCAGGAACACGAATATCTGGTACCGATCCTTTTTTCATGAGCAGCTTCTTAGCAAATCCAGCTTTATACTGATCCTCGTTTATAAGCAGTCTGATGTGTGAAATGATTCACGCAAACATGAGAGCATTGACGTTGCTCGTGGGGAATATTACCTTCGAAAACAAACACAGCCACTGCGTCTTCAGCGGTTCGGATTTAGGAACATTAAAATGACTGCTGTGTTCGTTATTACACCCAAGAACAGAACACCACAATCGCTTAGACGCCATTCTGCTCATAGACAGTGCTCCAGCATATCAACAATGACCGCGCCAGTCCGCGCAGACTATGATTGACAGCTGGCTCATGAGCGAGGGCGGGTCTGTGTTGAAGCGCTCTGTCAATCAACAATCGTGGGAGGGGCGTGCGAGCTTGTGACGTCACAGGCTCGAACGGCTCGATTTGAGGCAGGGGAAAACATATAAGGAGATTAAAACAAAACCACTGGATGGATTTTTATCATTATATGATGGACAGACACTGCCAACACACATTTCAGTACAATCAACTTGTAAAAGTGCATGTACCATTAAATGACCCCTTTAAGATAAAGATTAATTCAGCTGTTTGTTTTCTCTGGTCCCTTTCCAAGGTCAAGCTCGGACTCCTGTTGTTTGCTCTCATAGTGGCATCTTTATGCTACGTGCAGATGGAGCGTCGCCTGGCGAAGAAAATCCCGTTTAGGTTGCCACGGATTCCGCGCCCACGACACAAGGTAATTTAGCTATTGAGGTCGGCACGAAACGGAAGTTATGATAATATTGTCTTTCCGATTATGACATATATTCGAGTTAAATGGCTTCTGGGATGAAAAAAAAAATGCTTGGCGGGACTTGATTTCATCCTTGGGAATGTATTGGTTCATATGAAGTTGGGTGTTGCTAACTAAATGGAGTCAGATCAGAATGCAAGTTTACAGTGAGATGTGGAGGATATTAGTCACACACAAAAATGAAGAGAACAGATGCTGTTTCGAGGGGAAGGGGAGGTTAACGTTTTTGATTAAAGATCACAGGTGCACATGAATTAAAAATAAATAAATAATTATGTGCATGGATATATTGAAATGAAAACAATAAGAATTGCCCATTTTGATTTCATTGGGACCTTAATGAGTCTGTGGGAGATTTATAGAGTTTGTTAAAAGAAAAAAAATATTGTACACATTATTGTTAGAAGTTGAATTAATTTGTTTTGTAAACTCTATCCTCAATTTGTAAACCAAAAAAAAAAAAAAGCACTTACTATGTTGTATTTTTGTACAAAAATAAACTGTCCTTTTAGTCCTGTCCTTGACTACTGTTACAGGTGGATAAACTTCTGCTTATATCATTATTATTCTTCCATATCGCTCTCATTGCTAATGTCTTGCATTACTATCCCGTTCCTCAAAGGTCAAAGGTTACCGATACATTGAGGAAGAAAATTCTGATGAATCAGACACGGACCTGAGTGATGCTGACGATGATGAGAAAGAGGAGGATGAGAGAATGTTGGTTAAGGAGGACAACAATGCAGACGGCGATTCCCAGGGTTCACCGGGACCAGAGAGGAGCGGGGTTAGGGACCGCAGGAGGAGACAAGACAACGCTGCCTACGAGCAGGCCGGAGAGAGAGAAGACTATGTCCAACATACGAGGGAATAGAAAAGGAGAGGTGAAAGATGAGAGGAAGTTGTAAAATACTGAATAGCCAGAAAGAAACTTTTTTTTATTAAATCCGATTTCTTTTCTTTGGATAGAAAAAGTGTGGGCCACCGATGAAAAAATTAAGGTCAGAAAGTTGTCCACAGTAAAAAAAAAAAAAAAAAAAGTAGAAGTGAAACAAGCGTTTCATTGAAATGGGAAGTGAAAAGAGGAAACTGATGATACCTTGTAAGGTTAGGTGGTTTGTTGCCATAGAAATGGATATTCTCCATTTTGAACTTGGTCAAGGTGATGCGCTTGAGTGGTGTATTTCATTCTAATTCCTTTTTTATTTGTGTGCAGTAATTCTTCATCCACTTCATGGCTGTTTTCCTCTTTGTAACCGAAGAACCAAATAGCTCTCCATTAAAAAGTGTTACATTTCATTTTCATTTATGATGTTATAAAACCAATTTTAAATATTGTAATAAAGATGACAGATATTCTATAAGATTTAAAATGCTGCTTTTAGAATGTTTTTAAGCAAGCTATGATGTGCTACAATATGAATATGATTCAAAATTATACAATAAAACAATTTAGTGTACAGTATTTCAGTATGTTTCTCTTTCATTTGCATTGGATGTACCGGTAGGTGCTTTTGCAGTTATATTCTTAGGGGCTGTTCACAGAAAGCATGTTTTTGCATTTCACTGCTCGGCTTTTCCTTTGGTTTTTATGTAAACATGGGCTCTATGGACTTTTTTTGACCGCGTCTCGCTCTGAAAGCAAAAGTATGAAAAACCCTTTAGAAACACATTAAACAGTCAGTAAGAACAATTTAAGGGATAGTTTTGTCATTTACTCTCCCTCATGTTGTTAAAAACCTGTATACATTTTTTTTCTTCTGCTGAACACAAGGGAAGAAAAAAAATTTCCCATACTCTTCAAAATATCTTATTTTGTGCAACATGAGGCTGATAAATGATGACCAAATTTAAAAAAAAAAAAAATTGGGAAAAACGAACACACAGCTGAAATGATTTTCCCAAACGGGTGATTTACTAATGAAACTAAAGCAAATATAGTTTACCTAAGAAAGCTCAAGTAAACATAAATAAAATTCACCAATAATTCTCTAAATGTGCTAACTTTTTACTAGTGGTCATTGTTTTTAAAGCACCTGACAGGAGACACACAACAGATATTTCATCATGTCATCATTTCATCATATATTCATCAATAATATTAAACGTGCAGATCTGGAATGGAGGATTGTCTTTCTTTTATTTCTTTTTTTTAACGAATTCATTGGTTTGTCAAGACTAATTAGAATTTAAAATGTTACAAAAGTACACACCTTCTGTCTTTTCGAAACAGTTATTAAATACATATAAATCATTAAAAAAAAGAAATTTCCACATGATTCCAGTAAAGCTGAATCTGCATTTATATTTCCATGTAATATTCACCCCAGCATAAGCCTTGTTATGTTTCTAAAGCATTTACTAGATATTATATATGGAATAATTATATTCTTTGTATGGAAGATTATAAAATAATTGAAAATATTGAAACTTAAAACTTAAAAAAATATTGCGTTTCATGTCAGTTGTTACGATATTACGCATGTATTGTATCCATTTTATAATAAGACTATATAATATAATATAATCTGTAATATTTTGTTACCAGATTTTTTTATTTATTGTACTAAGGACAGTTACAATAATTTACAGTTGGTTAGTGGCCACTTACATGCCATCAGTTTACACGCAAACAGACAAAAAGACCAAATATGCTAGTTTGAGGTGAGTATGCATTTATTAGTCAACCGTCATCCTCCGAACGGTCTAACACACACTCCCATCTGTCCCCACATGGCACTCAAACGTCACACAGCATGACATGTTTGCATATAAAGATACATCTAGCCTTGATTTACTGATCTTGACTCCCCGGTGTCCTCCACTATGCTTCTGTGCACTTACCAATATGAGTTCATAAAAGAGCATTGATGTGTGTCTGTATATGCGTGTCATTAGAATTCTTTTTGTTTTTTTGTGTAGTGCTAGAGCACCACAAGTGGAAACTACGTGCAACCAGTGAAGGTTTTACAATTTGCCACACTGCACCTCATAAAGTGACTGCTGCTAGAATGATTGACGCGACTCCTCTGCTTCCTCACTCTGCACACTTTCCATTTCCTTCCGTTTTTTTCCATCAGGCATTAATGTTGGATTCTGCGGATGGACTGGATCTGAGGGGTCTGGCAGTGGGAGCCCCAGTCCTTCCAGTGCTGGTAGTCTCCGCTGTGCTTGTCACACTCCATAACGTACTGCTGTCCTCGATAGCCAGGGTACTCGTAACACACAAAGCTGCAGGGAAATAGAGGATGTGAGACAGATGGAGTGGTCAAAAACAAAATGAAGCAAGGAAATGAGATGCAGCGACTGGCTGCATAAAATATGACAAGCTGTTTGGAGAGGGAATGTATAAAAAGTGTTTTAATAGAAGAAGAGTATCTTGAAGCAAATTCAGCTGGATTCTAATGTGCATTAGAATTTTTATATTAGAGCTGGGCATTGACACAAATTGTACGATTCGATTTGGATTCACAAGCTTGCGATTCGGTACCATTTTTGATATAGATTAATTGGGGCCTACCAGGTACAGTACTTGGCATAATTTATAAACTATTATCACTGGCTTCCGGTAACGCCCAACCGTGCGTTCACGAGAGAGTCTAGTTTCCGGTGTAAGTGTAAGCTTAGGTGAGAATAGACACCTCTCGCGATTCAAACAAACAGGGCTGGGAAAAACTCAAGCTCCGACGACATTTCTCTTTAAAAATTCTCGTTTTAAACTTCTAATTCGTGATCGGTGTTTCGGTTTGCTCTATCCTCTGCACTTCCACGTTCGTCAATATGTCCTGCATCGGGTCAGAGGTCACTCTTCCGCCGGAACTAGACTTGTATACGGCCGTTACCGGAAGCCATTGACAACAGTTTATAAAGTTTATAAATATTCATATTTTTCTTACAAAAACGCACTGCTTTGCTTCAGAAGGCCTTTATTAACCCCCTGGAGCCGTATGGATTACTTTTATGATGGATGGATGGATGGATACGCTTTTTTGGGCTTCAAAATCTCAGTTACTATTCACTCCCATTATAAAGCTTGGAAGAGCCAGGCTATTTTTTTATGTAACTCTGATTGTGTTTGGCTGAAAGAAGAAAGTCATGTACACCTAGGATGACTTCAGGGTGAGTAAATCATGGGATCATTTTTGGGTGAACTATCCCTTTAAGTCGAAATACAATGAATATGCAACATAGTGCATATATTTATCAAAACTCTAAGTTCTAGCTATAACACGTTTTTGGACATTGAATGGCTTTTCTGAGGTAAATGTAGCATTACGTGACATTGTTTACAAGCTGTTTTATTGACGTCTCTCCGCGGTTGAAACGCTGATTGAGCGATTACATCAGACAAAATACAGATTTAGTTGGACTGTATCTTTTTAACATTCCTTCTGATGTTCATTCATGTTTATTTCATGCTGTAACTAATAGTAAAGTCGGTTCACATGCAGCTTCGCTTGAACTGAAGGTGCCATATAATCTGTCGCGCCACATGAAAGAGCGCCAAAAAAGTATTTATTGTTTGAATTATGTAATAAAATTGACAGAACCTGAAAACTGAGATGTTTCATATCAGAAGTAACAAAGCACAAAGCCTATTGTGATTTATTAGATGGGAGGCGCGCTACAAAGTTTGCTTCATTCATCAACTGAAAGCAGCTTAGACTGAAAGACCGATTCTTGGGATTTAAGAATCGATTAAAATTGAGAAATCAATATTCTTCACCCAGCCCTATGTAATGAGTAAAAATAATCATAATTAGACTTTTGCTTGGAAATTCGCCATGTGAAAACAAAACTAAAATTATCACTGTGTTAAATGATCGGTTTCTGTGATGATGTGCACCGAAAGGTTGACATAACATCATTACATAACATATGAGGCGGTCACAGATAATGTATTGCTGTGATGCATGATCTCTTATCTGACGATATGTTGCACTGGACTGTTTTGTGAAAGTAAAATCATTTACACTTCACAAGTACAAGGACTGGATTCTATGGAATGTGAGCCAATGACGCTGGTCTCGCCTGTGTGTATGTGTTTTGTCAGCGCAGCTGTTGAGCATGAGAAATGTTCAGGAGAACAGTAGTTTGGCACTAATGGTGTTTTGTTGAGTGTTACTCACGCGCCACACTGCACATGCATGGAGCCCACTTGCTTGTCGCACCAGCCCATGGCCTGTAGAGACGGGTAATCGTCACACAGCTCTACATTGCGGCCCAGGAAGTTGTCCTTCTCATAGATGACCATGCGACTGCTCTGGTGGACCTACAAATGGAGAGAGAGATTGGAAGGAAATGGGGGGGAAAGCTTTAAAGAGATGGTTTTGATGAGAGACACCTGTTTGTTTGAATGTAGTCGAGCACTTCAAAACCATCTAAAACAGGGGTGTCCAACCAATCTCAGTCCTGGAGGGCCCACTTTCCTGCAGAGTTCAAATACGGTTTCTAACGTGTTCTGATTTTGATTTTCAGTTGCTAAGGTTTTTTGCCTGTTGCTACGTGGTTGCTTATCCAAGAAAGTCGGCTCAGCTCTGTCTTTCATTTTTGAGCCTATGAGATTTTCTCTTTTCGTTTTATTGTCAGTCAGGAAAAGCTCAGTCAAATTGCTTAGAAAAGTTTGAGAATAAAAGTTGAAGGCATCAGTATGCGCTCACACACTCACAGCGCTGCAGATGGGGCGCAGGGACATCATCCTTTCCACATGGTAGCTCAGACTGCCGCTGTAGGCATCCCAATGGGGATATTCTCCTTTTTCCAGGACAAACTGCTGCCCCTGGAAGTCGTGGTGCTCGTATCCCACCCAGCTGCATAGAATTAAAGAGAATTAAAACATTTACACTACTGGTCAAAAGTTTGGAATAATTAAGATATTTTTTAACGTTGCCTCTTCTGCTCACCAAGGCTGCTTTTATTTGATTAAAAACACAGTAAAAACTGTAATATAGTAAAATATTATTCCTATTTAAAAGAAGTGTTTAGTATTTTATTATATTTTAAAATGTAATTTATTCCTGTGATGGCAAAGTTGAATTTTCAGCATCATTACTCCAGTCTTCAGTGTCACATGATCCTTCAGAGATCATTCTAATATGCTGATTTGCTGCTCAAGAAACATTTATTATTATTGTCAATGTTGAAAACAGTTTTTGCTTTGTAGAAACAATGATACAATACCATATATAAAAATACATAACTATTCCAAACTTTTGACTGGTAGTGTATAAAGTACTTACAATCGGTTTGGAGGAATATATGATGTTTTGTTTTCAATAAAAACTAAATTTAAGGTATTTAGCTTATATAATAAGCTAGTCTTTTTTTGCTTTGTTAACTAGCCTTTAACTTGAATTAAGTTAAGTAAATTATTCTCCTAAAGGAAGCATGACAAAGACATGCCTGAAACTACACAGGTAATCTTGAAATACGGCAGCTCAGTCATTCTCATATTTTATTATTTCCCAAATCATCATCACATTTTACAAATCATCTCAGGACGAAACACTTAAAAGCTTTCAGACACATCTAAAATCGTAATTTCCTTACTAACTGGCAAGATTTTGCAATCATTAACACAGAGTGGGCGACTCACGCGCCGCTCTCCACACGGATAGAGCGGATGTTGTCAAACCCACGCTCCTGGATGTTTCGGCACTCTGAGGTGAGTTCCTGACACTTGCCTTGGAAATGCTCCTGCTCGAACACGGTCACCTGACAAACACACATGCACATGCCACAGTTCCATCTAATTTGGAAAAACTCTCTCTCCTACATACAAAACCACATGCCTCCACTCCTTTCATTATGTCCTCTATCTGTTGAACAATACAGAATTCTACACATCTTGGACAAGAAGAAGCAGCAGCAGCATCAACCATTCACAAAGCCTTCATCTATGCAGTCTCAAAATCAATACCTAAGCAGAAGCCGCCTTTGTTGAATCATTGATGGCTTGGCGCCTTGTTTCTCACTCTCAGACAAAGAATCAATACTTTGTTACTCATTCTTTCATTGTGCTTCTTACATTAGAGAAAGTGTGGAAAGGGTTTTACCTTAAAGCAAGGAGCCATGTCTATCCCAGACGTTGATGGGTTTGTTTGGATCTTAGTTACTTTGTGCATCTTCTTTCCTACACAAGAGGGAAGGCTGGAAACTTCTTCAGATGTATTTTACTATAAAACAAACTTTGGGACATGCACAGTTGTTACATACTGGCATATTGTATGAATGACATGCATTTGTGCATTTTAGACAATTCATATAAGGACTGCTAATGGATCCCTATTGGTTTCCAAGTATTTATAATTTTTATAATATTTATGTATAATTTTACATTGATACATTTCTATTACACAGCTCTCCAGAATACTTGATTCCGATAAGGATTTCATCTCTCTTGTATCACTTTTGTGCAAACTTTTTGCAGTGAAAATTTGGCAATATATTGCTAACGTTATATGCTCAGCACTTCCCAGGAAAGAATAGGGAAGGTAATCATTCGGAAGAATAACCAGTGAAAAACACAAATTTGAGTTCTGTGAAAGAGGAGACATGTTACATTATAGAACAATATTTTAGTGAACTTGTCCATAGAAAACATTACTTGGATTGCAGAGTAATTAAAGCCTGTTACTTAAATAATATATTGCATTTATGTAATATTGCAATAGTAAAGGCTACAGTATGTTCCAGCATTCTTTGCTTGGATGATTGTTTTCTGCATTGTGCACTTTTCTTAGCGGAACTTATAGGCCTACTGTATGTGTAGGCAATAGGCATGTATAAAGAACATCAAATGACAACTCATTTGATGTTGGCAATAGGTTATTTAATTTAAGGCAATATCCCAAACACAACATTCAAGCTGACCAAGTTTGACTAGGCACTTAAAGGGATACTACACCCAAAAATGAAAATTCTGTCATCATTTACTCACCCTCATGTTGTTGCAAACCTGTGTGAGTTTCTTTCTTCTGCTGAACACAAAGGAAGATATTTTGAAGAACGATTGGAACCAAACAGTTCTTTGGCACCATTGACTTCCATAGATAGTAGAAAAAAAAATTACTATGGAAGTCAATGGTGCCCCACAACTGTTTGGTTCCAATCGTTCTACAAAATATCTTCCTTTGTGTTCAGCAGAAGAAAGGAAATCATACAGGTTTGCAACAACTTGAGGGTGAGTAAATGATGACAGAATTTTCATCTTTGGGTGAAGTATGCCTTTAATAGTTCTAATAATAGCTATTAGTTTAAGTTAGGCCTAAAACACGGATTCAATCTATTACTCTAGATTTATCTTACCTGAATCTCCACCTGTCCTACTTTACAGTGATGCTTGTCAGTCCCGTTTGGCGAGGAGTTTTATGATTATTTGGCGCTTCTATTTTATAGCGACCATCACAGCTGGGTGCACGTCGCGACTCTGAAACTGATGGAAGGACCAGTAAGGGTGTGTGTGTCTGTGTGTGTGTGTGTTTGGGTCTGTTTATGAGATCATTCTCTTTATTGTAAGTCCAGGGTAGTGGAGCATTTCGCGCCGTCAGCGCATTGGATTTGATGAAGCCGTGAGTGAGTTAGCGCGCGCGCGCGCCCGCGGTGCGCGTGCATGCAGACACATTGAACCGCACAATGGAGCTCAAGCGGCAGTATTCCTATCGGTCAGCACTGTGCATCGTATGGTACACAATAAGCGGCCTATAGGTGGAGAATACAGGGATTTGACCAACTGCATGGGTGGATGTCCTCTCTTTCAAACCTCCCAGAAACATATCTGTTTTGCTTCTGTCTTACGACAGCTTAATCTTCAGAAAGCTTAAATTCATAATTTAACAGGTGTAACTATATTTGGGAATAGTCATACCCACAATACTGATTTATGCAGGTTAAGTTTTTTATTAAGTTTTGGAATTGTTTTTCTTTTCTTTTTCTATATTCTGTATAAGACATCAATCCTATTCAATAATAGTAGGCTAAGCAATTTAGTAGTAATTTCACTTAAGAAATTGAACTTTTTCAAATCTTAAGTAAAAATGAAGATAGGAAGTTTCTGTAATTCAGACAGATCTTTCCCTTTATAATCAAGTTTACTAGTCTGAATTCGTCAGAATGTCTTTATCCAGACTGTAGGATGTAGCCTAGTGTCGGTAACAAGTGTAACATTATCCCTGCTCATGACTGTCCACATCTTATATGACCCACAGAAGTGTTAAGGTGATATGTGGTTCAGAAATATTAGCTTAATATTACTGAATATATGCAGTTTATAATGCATAGTTACTATTAAAAAACATAGTAAGTGAAACAGCAGGCATTATGGACCTCACACGGTGTTGCATAATTCAGCAAGTTATCATCTTGGAAAGGCAGATATTGACATTTTGTGGCTGTGTATAAAAGTATGTACAGTACTCCACATAGGATTTTTGTAACATGCTTTTAAGCTGCAATTATTAGGGTAACAGTATCACTCAACCATGAAACTTCCATTTTAATTGGTGTAGTTTTGCTGGCATATTACTAAAAAAATCACAGTTTGCAGCACGGTTGCCAGAGCTTTAACACAACATATGGACTGCATACGCAGGTTAATGTACTTGAGACAAATACTTTAATTGGCATCAAAAATATCTGAAGATATGAAAAATAAATTCAGTAAATTCAGTGTATGTTTGGAAATTCGCCAAGTCTTCAATTTGGTGCCTGAAGGTTTGGCTCGGGTGTTCCATTACATTGACAAATGCAATTTTGTTCTGTCAGTTTTAACACAACATACTGTAAGTGTACTGTGGCTGAAGGCTAATGCAGTTTGCAAATGAGACAAAACCATAATGAACCTCTGGCACCAGTTGAATTAGTCTTTTATGAAAAATATCATAGCATTATCCAACGTAAAAGAGTGGAATATATGCCAATCTAAGCCTATGTGAGAGTTTGGCTATGGTGTTCATCACCATCAAATGTGATTTTTCCTTTGGTTTACTTTCATCAGGTTTTATGTACGTCATTTCACAGTCTGGAATTTGTCCTGTGAAGGTGTCCAACAGCTTAATTTTGTAGTCACCTTGTAAAGTTTCAGAACTGGACACACACCGACACAAGAAGTATTTTTTTAACTGTGGAAGCTCACCTTGAGTTTAAGAAAGAAGTATAGTACTCCTCTCTCCTCTTTCTGTCTGTCTCTGTCTCTGTCTCTCTCTCTGTTTGATGATGGGGTGATTCTTTTCTGTGTGTGGGTTGGTGAGCTCAGCGAGTTTGTTTCTGTGGGCCTAATCCCCCCATGCTAGGCGCCAGCCTATAAAAGGGACACATGTTTGCTTTCAGTACACACACTGACACACTGATTGAGACAGACAGCGGCTACTGACTAACACACAGGTAAGAGACTGGGGTCTGTGAGCAAAAACAAACTTAGAGAAAGGCATTCCCATATTTCATTTGGTTGAAGTCTACAGCAAAGAAACTCCAGCTTGTGTAAGAATATCTCGAACAGCTTTGACACATTAGTCACCGGTAGAAAGCAATTAAAATGTAATCCTTTTTTGAGCATAGCACTTTATACATTGTCAGGGTGAACTGTAACTGATTAGTCATAACAGAAAAATTGATATAGAAAAGAAAAAAAAGCTCTGTATATGTTGTGAATATGAAAGAGTGAGAGAGAGAGAGAGAGAGAGAGAGAGAGAGAGAGAGAGAGAGAGAGAGAGAGAGAGAGAGAGAGAGAGAGAGAGAGAGAGAGAGAGAGAGAGAGAGAGAGAGAGAGAGAGAGAGAGAGAGAATGTGAAATTAAATGAAAAAGTAGTTTATAAAAAAAAGGCAGTACCAAATGATGAGTTTTATTTTATTTATATATTAAATTACCGTTAATTACTTACTGGGGTGGATGTTGATTTAATTAAACGGGTTTATGTATAAAGCCTTGTGAAAATCTGGGGCCATGTTAATTAAATATCTTACACAAATATTTTATAGAAAAGGCAAGAATTATATCAGTCAATATTTCATCAGTATTTCATCAGATACCTTAGAAGTCCTATTCCATGTTTCAGTTTTAATATTCGGCTTGAACGACATTATAATATAGCATTTTGGCATATATTTCTAAATTAGTAATCTCAGGCAAATTATGTTACGTATGAGCATTGCACATCTATAACACTTTTGTGAAAGTGTTTCAAAGTGAGTGGGTGAAGAATTGATCCAGGGGCTATAAATGTACTCGAATGGGATTCGTTAATTGCTTCGAGCAATATTTAGCACTTGACATCACTATATGTCCAACAATAGATATTTCCAGCAAGGAGGCTGCAAATTATTTACATTTCTCCACTCGTACATATGCTCTCTTATCGTAGTCATCATGTCCACTGGTGGAGAGAAGTCCAAGCCCGCCTCACAGCCTGATGGAAAGGCTGCTCAGACTCAAAAGAGAACCGAGATGGGTGTGGGGAACTACAAGGTATGTATCGGTACCATATTTACAGATGCATAAAGGTTGCATGTGAAATTGCAAACGTGAATGATGGGAAACTGCTGAGCAAAATTCAGTTTCCATAGAAATAGATGTGGGTGTTGTATGTATGCAGTATTTTAAGCTAAGCTAAACTAAAACGATCAACTTTAATTTATAGTTGCATACCAAGCAAAAATGACCTGGTTGTCTCCTCTCTTTCTTCTCGTTCAGATGTATGTGTTTGATCAGGAGAACTTCCAGGGCCGCATGATCGAGATCTCCAACGAGTGCATGAACGTGTGTGAAATGGGCATGGATAGAGTGCGTTCCCTCCGCGTGGAGTGTGGCCCGTGAGTGTTTCTGTGATACATATAAGTGACTTACCAATAGTTCTGTATTTGAACACTTCCTCCATTCTCTCTGTCCTTCTTTCTCTTCTTTAGTTGGGTGGGTTGGGAACAGATGAACTTCTGCGGAGAGATGTACATCTTGGAGAAGGGTGAGTACCCCCGTTGGGACTGCTGGAGCAACTGCCACAGGAATGACTACCTGCTGTCCTTCAGACCTGTCAAAATGGTATTCATCCCTTATATTCATTATACATGTGTATGAATGTTTTAATTTAGTTGATTTTTGCAAAATCGCCAAAACATTATTCAGTTTGTTTCATTGAGCCATTGCAATACAAGTTTGATCCCATCCCTATTCTGTTCCTGTCCAAAAAGGCTAAAGGTAAACTGAAAAAAAATATATATTTTTTTAAAATCCATATTCATGGATGTATTCGCTGCCACACTGAGTTGCAGGAAATGCAAATTTGAATCTTGAATCTGGCTCCCAACATTTCCTAATTCCATCACACTTTTCTCTAATCATTTCCTGTCCTATCTCACACACACTGAATCCATAAAAGTGGCAAAAAGGCCAAAAATATTTAAATCCATATTCATTGATGTATTCACTGACACACTGAGCAATGGCGCTTGCTTTTGCAGGGAACGCAAGTTTGAATCTGGCTCCCAACATTTCCTAATCTCTTCCCACTCTTCATGTCCCATATCACTCACTATATTCATCAAATTTAATAATAATTTTTGAATCCATATTTATTTATTAATAAATATTATACCTTAAACTCCTTGTTTGTGCTCCTCACAGGACCCAGAAAAGCATAAGATCTGTCTGTTTGAAGTTGGTGAGTTCAAGGGCCGTAAAATGGAGATTATGGATGACGATGTGCCCAGTATGTACACCTTCGGCTTTACCGACCGCGTTGGCAGCATCATGGTCAGCTGTGGCACGTAAGTGTTCTCGCATCGAAGAAATCTGAGTGCAAGTAGACTGTGATATCTGAACATAAAAAATAGATCTGATAAGAGAAATGTGAAGTCTGTGATCTTTAAGTCATACACTCACCCTAAATCCACTGAGTTTAAAGCAGAATTCTGTTAGGACCACTATCTTCAAATGCGATTGACATTAGCATACAGTTAGGATTGGCGGTATGGTTCTGTTCTGGGCGAGAACTCCCTGCGCAACCATGCAGCCTAGCATGGATAAGAGCAGGGAGAGCAGCAATAACCCCCCTTAGGGTAAACAGAACAGAACCAACATGAATGAATGCAGATATCATTAATTCAAGATTTAAAGTAAAACAGAACTGAAGCTACGCTCGATGTTTGTAGTTTTTTATTTATTTATGTTAAAACACTTTCTCCTAGCCCTTAAAATGTGTATAAAATGTGGCACTATCAAAAAAACTTTTGGCGGGACCAAACCCAACATCACAGGAAAACATAACTATTTTACGACGTGGCAATTTCGTATGAAAACGTGTGATTTTAAAAGCCCACCACTAAACATAACTGTCACTGGGGCGTAAGCAGATCATACGTATCAACCATTAGTTTACCAAAAAAATTAAATACTTATCAACTGCCATGAGATTGTTTTGCTGGGAATATCGAGCCCGATCTCATGAAAGTGCGTATCTATACCACGAATGTCATTTCTCGTGCCATTTATACGCCAAAAATGTTTTTTGCGTCTATATGATACGCAGTTTTCGCGTGCATATGATACGCACTTTATGGCGTGTAATATGCACGCACACCCCACCCCCCTCCCCCCTAAACCTACCCAAGGGGTTTTCAGTGCGTAGCATATGCACGCAAAAACCATTTTTGGCGTATAAATGGCACGAGAAATGACATTCGTGGTATAGATACGCACTTTCATGAGACTGTGTTGGAATATCTGTTTGTAATAGCAGGCTTTCCGGAAACCTGTTTGAAAACAGTCATTACTTTGGCCTTGCATTACACAAATCAGCTTTATAGTTACGCCCAGGGCCGTCGCTAGTGGGGTGAAAGGTGGTGACAATTACAGGGGCCCCCGCTGCCCAGGGGGCCCCACAAAATCCAGCAGTTATACTATTTAGGCCCCTGTTGTATGAATAATTCTAATATTTATATTAGTTGTATGCCTGAGATTTAAATGAAAACCACAAAAACGTGCAATTTGGGTAAATATTTTTCCAAATATCTGCTTCTCTTACCTCCATAAAAATGGTTTAGTCCGACCTAAAGTATTTATTAATTATTCAGTCAGAGTCAGTGACAAACATCAGATGGACCCAATAAAATTGTAAGTCCCACCCCAGCTCGTGAACAGAACCAATCAGAGTTGAGGCGGCAGCCTGAAGTTAACGATGAACTTGGTGGAAGAGCAGAAGACTAACTGACTGAAAAATGTCGGGGAAAAGAAAACATAAATCAGGGAACAAGAAATGCCAGGAAAAGACGGAGAGGGAGGCAAGGAGAGTGGTTGTATCCCAGTCGATCAAGACGTTCTTAAAGACCGGTTATATATTGTTATTTCGCTGGGAATTAGAAAACTTCCGTCTACAGTCTGCCGTGTACAGTCATTTTTTATTATCGGTGCGCGCCACAATAGACCGAATGATTACGTGGTCTAAATTCCTGTATTTTTACACTATTGTAAATAGAGTTTAAAAAAAATTACACGAGTCACGACGCATTGCATTATGCATCTGACCTGCCGGCTGATGATATTTAAAACATCGAGAAAACACGAATACAACACACTGCACTTGGATGAATAAATGTATTCGCTTTATTTAATAATATTACCAGTTCCATATTATCTTTATTAAAAAATAAGACAATGAATGGTTTATTTTTTTAATTAGACTGCATTCTTGTCAATTTCTAAATGTTTACTTTTTGATTCATGAATTATAACAGACTGATGGGGGGGGGTTACTTTTTAATAATTGGTTTTATTATTATTTGACAATTTCTTGCTTTTTGTTAGTTTTTATTAGTTGTAATTTTTATATAAACATTTAACTTTTAAAATAAAGGTTTTACAACAACATCACGATCTTCTGTTATATGTGGGCCTCCATGTTCATCTATTGTACAGTATATGATATTGGTGGAGGGTGGTGGGGGCCCACATCAATATTTTTTCAGGGGGCCCCGAATCCTCTAGCTACGGCCCTGGTTACGCCACCTAGATAAACTAATTGTGTTAATACTTCTAATATTTCAAACATTAAAATAGGAATTAAATCATTTCCAGTGTGATCAGTTTTCCAATATATAACTAATTGATAAGAGGCTCTTCTCTATTCTGAATTCTGTTCTTCACTTTTATTTATTCTCTATGTTTGTGGTGTCTGTTTCCTCTCACCTCTTGTTTCAGTTGGGTGGGTTACCAGTATCCTGGTTACCGTGGCAGCCAATACCTGCTGGAGAAGGGTGAATACCGTCACTTTAATGAGTTTGGCGCTCGTCATCCCCAAATGCAGTCTGTCAGGCGCATCCGTGACATGCAGTGGCACCCAGACGGCTGTTACACTATGGCCACCAAGTGAGGGCTAGGGAGGACGAGAAAGAGAGGGAACAGGGGAGAGAGAAAGAGAGGAGGAGGAGAAGATGAAGGAGGTGGAGGGGGGAGGGCCAGGAAGGAGAGGAGGAGCGCACCACCCGTATGAGTCATCCTGGCAAGGGAAAGAAGGAGAGAGGGCTTTGCAAGGAAAAAAAGTGACAATAGAAAATGTGGCTGCTGATATCAGATGATCTTTCCGAGCCCTCTTTATTCTCTCTCCACTCTTCACGTCTTCTCCCATCTTCTTCATTCTTCCCTCTTCCTCCTCTTCCTCATCCTCCATTCACTTTTCCCCGGAGGAAATCAGTCCATCACAACGAGCCTTAACTGATGCCTGACTCGTGTGGGTCAGGGATATGATGATTGACATGGGTGGGTTGGGGGCGGGGCGGTGGGTGGCAGGGGGAGGGGTGTTTTGACCTAAAGGCCATGTAAAAACCTCCACATCCTTTTTGGAACGGTAATAAAAGTGACACCTGTGACTGTTGTTCCCTGATATCACTGCTGATTGTCTCTGCCCATGCAGGCATTCACCCTTTACCATCAATACATCAAATCACATTTCCACTCTGACTTAAACAAGTCAGAACACATTAACAGAACGGAGCAGATTATTATAACACCGATTTAACAATGATTTAGTGTTCAGTTTCTACTATTATTCAAGTTGGCGTGGATCGATAATAGTAAATGATCTGAAATTTCGCCAAAATGTTGTTCCTAGCAGTGGGGTAGGATTGCAATTTTGAATAATTTTATAAATTAATAACTTTATACTAGGGATGCACCAATATGAAAATTGAATCTGATACCAATAACCGATAATTCTTAATATTTGAAAGCCGAAAACCGATATATTGGCCGATAAATCTAAATCCAGATTTCTATATCATTTTTGAGAGCCTGATTACAAAAACAAAAGTTCTCACCATTAAAAGCCAAGTCCCACACACACAATTAAAATGTTCTAATAATTTTATGTAGCCTATATGACAGACTTAAGCTGAACATGTTGCACTTTTGAAGTGATTTCAATCATATTTCCAGTCGTCCAAAAGCATCATGGCGAACAGTGTGCATCTGAAGTGTTTCAGCTGAAGGAAATTATCCATTATTTATCGGCTTTAAAATATTTTGGCCAAATTTTCTTATCGGACCGATAAATAATAACATTGAAAATGAACAATTATCGTCCGATACCGATATGGTGGCTGATATATCGTGCATCCCTACTTTTATGCAATCCATTAACTAAACAAACAAAAAAACGTATTTAAATAGGCTACTGACAAATCGCATAATGAAAATCTTTATACAATGTTGTCACATGAACAACCAGTAACCAGAAAGCTGCATGTGTTTGGCTTATCAAAAAGAACAGAATCATAAGAGTCATTCATAAGGGGAAAGATTCAGGAGATTGAGATTCAAGATGAGATCAAGATTGAGATCATGTAGATTCAAGATGATGCAGCGCTACCAGTAGGCCTACAGGAAACTCTAAACTAAAATTGCATCTTTATTTGAAGTACTTAGATTGCTACTGTTAAAAAACTACATTCATAGTATGAAATGCATGTAGTATGAATATAATCTGGACATACTACATTTTTCATGTTGTCAAGTGACCTTCAGTGTCAGTTGCGTCGCCATCCACAGATCCTCTCTCATGAATTCATGGGATAGTAAAGTGTCCATTGAATGTGCACTTCAAAATCTCATGGAAAATAGTAACTTTTCACTGCTGTTTTTATGAGTAGGCCTACTGTGAATTCAGACATACTATTATTGATTTCACATACTCTTTTTCACCTGTAAAATAGTGAAGTGCATATTCAAATGTAACCTACCTTTCAGATTAATCTTTTTTTAAGAGAAAGGTTACAAAGAAAGTTACAGCAAAAATACATTTAATTTAAATTTAAAGGGGTCATATAATATATACTTCTATAATATATATATATATATATACTTTTACAAGTTGATTGTACTGAAATGTGTGTTGGCAGTGTCTGTACACAACCATCATATAATGATAAAAATCCATCCAGTGTTTTTGTTTTAATCTCCTTATATGTTTTCCCCTGCCTCAAATCGAGCCGTTCGACCGTGTGACCGACTCCGGTTCAAATTGATACGGTTGCAGAGAGTGTCCTGTCCTCAGAGACTCCCGCTGCCATTCTTACTCCAAAATATACCCTCAACTGTTGTCAAGGCAACACTCCACGTGCGTTGTATCAAAACGCCCCCCAGAACGGAGGGGCGGAGTGAGCGAAGCTCATTATCATTTAAAGGCATATGCACTGAAACGGCGTGCTGAAAACAGAGCTGTTTTTGACCAGGTAAAATTAGTGTTTTCTTAAAATACTAATGAGAATTTTTAATAAAAGTATATTACAAAGTTTTCATTTAGACCCTAAACATTTATATTAACTTGTACAAAAATGGCATTATATGACCCCTTTAAGAATATGGTCATAAAAACTACATTATGACACTTTTAATACCCAAAAATATTAAAAAAAACATTATGATATGACCCTTTAAATGGTTTAAATACAGCAAAAGTCTAGGATTACTCTTTTAAAATGAAGATTCTGAGTCAGCTGTCAAGTCAATAAAATTAAGATAATTACACGAGCTGATTATTATCAACATTTTTGGAGCATGTGCTGTGCGTGCACTGAAAAAGAAACAGTGTTTGTTTTGTCTGTCTGTTCTTTGGATTGGAATGAAATTTAATAGCATCTAAAAATCAGACAAAAATAAGACAGATATAGGCTTCTGTCATCATGAACAGAATGATTGTGGGTTTATACAACATCTGACCAATTTCTCCATGCACATGCATATGTAATTCTAAACCTTCCTGAATGAATTAATAATTTATTTGAAATTGACATCATCTTTCCCACAAGGCCGAAACAAATACACAAACACAATTAAGATTCACCTCAGCTCCACACAAAATCCAGCCCTTTCATTGACGTCAGTCGCCCCAAAGTCTTACTTACGTAAACATCTACACACACACACACCAGGCACCTTGGGAAATCTAGTAACTCCACATCCTAAGTGTGTGATTAGCCTGTCTCTCACACATTTTCCCTCCTCACACTCGGAGAGGTAATGAAGAGCAGATAGAGGATGATTCGGGACAGAGGCTGGAATGAGTTAGAGGGAAGCTAGTTATCACACAGCTCAGTGGGATGCTAAGTTAATTGAATCTCACTCTTGTAGTACTACACGGCCACCACAAGAAGGTACTAACAATTAGATCATCAAAGAAGAAGCCTAAGCTTTGTCAGTCCTCTTTTGCTTGTTTCACACATTTTTCTGTACTTTTCCACACAATGTAGTAGCTTGCTACTGGCAACAGTGGGGAAATACGTCAAGATGACGTCAACAACGCCATGGCTTCACATCTATACACACACATACAGTGCAGATGTGCAATTGTTACCTTAAGAAACAATTTCTACCTGATCTGACTTTGACAAATTCTTCAGTAATTTAAAATCATATTTATCATCAGTTAAATCAGATTAGCACATTAGTTTTCCTTACAAAACCCTTTTACAGTGCAATATCCTGCATACAGAGAGCCTGCAAGAGCTGTATGTGTGTTTGTGTGTGTGCGCCACAGCAGGACTCTTTCTTGCGTCACGGCTGTGTTGTGAGTTAGCCGGGGGAGAAGCGGTTCTTTTTATGGAACTTCCTAAAAAGTCTTTCCGCCGAGAGTGATGTAAGCTATTTGTCTCAATGTTTAACAAACGAGTGGGTGTGAACCTATCAGTGAGATAGAGAGAAAGTGACAAAGAGATATAGTGGAGAATAGGCAAAGAGTGAGGGCACCTACAAAGCTGCATATTTATCATTGATACACTGTTAAAAAAAAAAAAAAAAAAATGATTAATCAGTTTCTACCTGATCTGACTCTTAAAAAAGACTTGTAATGGTGTCTTCCGAATATATTAGGTAATTAGGTCGTATTTTGATCCAAACTAGTAAATTTAGATGTTAAATATTTTAACAGTATCTTTAGCAACTTGGCACGTATCTGATGCATTTTTGATGATTTTTATCTTTGATCATTATCGAGCACTTTGTTCTCCCTCTGTCTCCTCTCTTTGCCACAGCTTGTCCCCGTTTTGCCAGCCTCCTTCTCTCTTTCTCTCTCTCTCTGGCTGATGGTGTCAGAGCTGCATATGGATCTGCGTCATCGGTGAGCAGTGTCTGATTGACTGGGTTAAAAATAAAGAGCAGAGAGGGGTGAGAGTGTGTGTATGAGTGAGAGCATGAGGCTGAGAGGCCAGAAACTGCGTTGGGATGCTGGGGCAAGTCTGAGGAATCTGGGGGAAGAGCCATGTGTGAATAAAGGGTATTTTTAGCAGGAGAAAATGAGTTAGCGTTAGATAAGAGTATAACAGTGCAAGCAGGAAGATATATGATATTCATAACCTCTATGTGGAAAAAAAAATCTATGTGAAGTTATAATCTTTGCCAATAAAAACTTTGCCAATATGAATGGTAGATGTAGAATGTTTTTTGTGTTTTTGTTTTTATTACTTTTTAATGTCTATATGGTTACAGTGTAAAAAAAAAGAGACAAAAGTTGCTGCCTTGAATTAAGTACAGATGTACTTAAGATGTTTAATTCATTCCACCTTAATTACATTAAACTGAGTTTAAAAAATGGGTTGAATCTTATGATCAATTGATCTTTCTAATTTATATCTATAGTTTCACATATTCAGTTGTGTTTGTTCTTAGTTTCATTTTCATGGACTTTTAGTTTGTATTCATTAGACACATGTGTTTCTTTGCCTTTGTTTTGCGCAACTCAGTTTCTATAGACACTGATTATTCTCAAAGCTGCTTGTCATTTAGTTTGATTCCTCGATGCATTTAAGTTCCTCCCGGTTCACCCTCAGTTGTCAGTCGTTTTTCGTGTTTGCGTTTGTTTTACGCACACACTGTTACAGCTTATTTATTTACCTGAGTTTACTTTATTATTAAAGACATTTCATATTGGAACCTGTGGACTCTCATCTTCATCTTCTTCATCTTTGTGACAGAATGACCGACCAAAGTAATGGATTATGCAGCGAAATTCGCTGTGATTGCCCAGAAGGGACTTGATTTTTGTAGTTACACTGAACAGTTCTGTCATCGCGCCTTTTGACGAATAGACCCTGAAATCATTGTTTTGGATCGGGGCCAACTACCACCAGACAGTAGACCTCCCAGACACCCAGGAGGGACTGGAGAATGAAAAATGTGGCAAAAAAATATACATTAATACACAAAATGGATGCCATTGTTTTCCTTACGCTGAAGTCACGGAATCACATGCACAGATTAATGGACATCTTAAACTGT